TCACAACTTTCCGGAATGAAGACACCCTACGGCAGGGGGCCACACACTCCAATCCTCGGATCCAAGGGGCAAGATGGCAATGAGACCCGATCAGATTCCGTCCGGTGTCTGTCCTGTGCCCACCTCACTGCAGCCAGGCCCTCCTGGGGAAGCACAAGAGTCCTGGGGTCTCCAAGCCCCACAGCTGCCAAACCCACCAACTTGTGTAGTTTGAACTTTAAATTGGGCAGGGACTGCAAGGCTCCCCAGGGCATGGAGCAGAGAGCTATGTGGCAGGGGACCAGGAAGCTGGTCCTCGAAGCTTTGGCCCTGGCTCATCCCAGCACAGTATGTTTGCAGGTAATGAGCTCAGCACTTGTCTGCTCTGCTCTCCCAAGCCCTGGGTCAGCCCACCTGGCAGCCTGCTCCAGCTACCTGCATGTGCTAAAGCCATGGGGCTATAGGTATGATGAGGTAAGGACAATCCATGTAGCATGAGGACTATTCTCATGAAATCTTTTTTAAACATATGAATAAACCAGAATATTTGCTTGTGAAAGAGGACATGATACTTGCAATAGTGGCTACCACTTACTGATTACTTACCATGTGCCAGGCTCTGTGCTAAGAGCTCTGCATACTTCATCTCACTGGATCTTCAAGATCATCCCACAAGGAAACACTATACTCATCTCCACTTTACAGGTAAGGGAGGCGAGGCTGAGAAAACTGCTAGCAAGTGGCAGGTCTGGGACCTGAGTCCTGGTGGGTCTGACTCCAAAGCCTGCACTCACCTGCTCTGCCATCCAGTGAGGAAGTGGTCAAGCAGGAATCCTAGATCCAGGCATGTCAGGGAAATTGTAACAGAAGCTTCGGTCCTTTTATGTCCATCACCTTTATTTTTAAATAATTTGTGAAGCCTAAAATAAAATATTAAATGGTTCAAACTAGATTTGCCAGCCAATGAAACTGATATAATTTTTACCTTGCAAAGTAACCCTGGGTCTGTCAGACCTCAGGGTTGGAAGTTGCTAGATAGAATGAGGAAATGTTTCAGAGATTACTGGTACTAGAGGTCACCTGAGTAGTTCCATTCACAGGAGAAATTTAACCAAGTTCATACAGCAGAATCAGAACAGAGGCAACAAAATCAAAGCTGGATCCCTCACCCCTGTCCCAGGGCTCTCAGTCCTGGTTCATGGCACCACACTGCTTCTCAGGAAGTCTAAATTGGTATGTGGAATTCGACAATTATTCTCAGAGACACCTGGTTTGCAATCTCTCTATGAATCTGATTTTCCAGGACATGACAACGTGTGAGACCTTGACAGATAGATGCAGGAGTGGTTTTCTGAGTGTATTGTGAAACAATACCATACCTAAATATTCAGCAAATTTCAGGCTGTCCTCCTCGTGGCATGTGGTAGGATTATACAGAGCCAATGGAGTGTGGGCAGGTGTGACACATGTCCCTTCTGGGGCAGAGCATATAACTGCTGATGTGAATGCCTACTGTGTTCTTCCCCAACCAGAACAACTGGCAATGTCTGAATGGTGGAGCCTCCATCAGCCAGGGTCTCTGAGGAGGACAACATGGAACAGAGCCCCCTGAAAAGCTATAAAGAACATGGAGCATGAGAAAGAAATAAACCTTTGTCATGGTAAGCCATTTAGATTATGTGTGTTACCGCAGCAAAACCTAGCTCATCTTAACTGATACACCCAGGGAATGGCAGCTGCTCCCTGATGCCCCATCCTGTACCCATGGTGCAGAGTCAAAGCTGTCTGTTAGCTGGATGCATGGTATCTTCTAGACACAGACTTATTTCAGGACATAAACCTGTGGCTCCATGAGCTGGTTCTAATTTCCATGAATGTGTTATGACCAGACTCTTAAATTGTGAGAAGACCCACAATGGAGGCTCCACCATTCAGGCTACTCTCTGATGTAGCTCTTCAGAAACAGCAGCTGCCACGGCAGGGAGAAGATTGGCACACCCAACACTCTTAGCTGCATCCTCTGTTGCTGTATGTGTGCTGGTGGAGGAGATGATCTCAAGGTGAGACATCTGGGACCAGGATTTGGGGCAGCGGAATAGCACCAGATCTCAAATGGCGATCACCAGCAGCTCCTGGGTGCAGGCACTGGAGGGCAGCAGTGGTGGATTGGATGTGACCCTTTGATTAAGATAGCTCACAGTCTATGGAGAGAGAAACCACACACTACAATGCAAGACAGAATGCAATTAGCCTGAGCTTAAAGCCATGAGCATCACATCGTATTGTTGGCATAGTCAGCTCTCCGAAGGCATCTGAGCAGGCTGTGCAGAGGAGGGATGTGAGAGCCAAGCCTCGAAGGATGAGTGGAAGAGAAAAGCCACTCCAGGCTGAGGAAAGAGCACGAGAAGAGGGACGAGATAAGAGAGTGTGGACATTTGTTCATCAATGGGGAGTAGTCTAGTGAGGTTGGAGCAGGTGTGTATGAAGGGATGTAAGGGAGGTGAGGCAAGTGGGCAAGCCAGAGCCTGTTCTCAAAAGCCCTTAAATACCCCTGCCTTTCCCACTTGGTCTTTTTGTTAGAGACAAGGGCAAAGAAGAGAAATGTGAAGAAAGGTGGTTTCCCACCTTTTATCCACACAGACACATGCAACTATGTCAGGTGTCAGAATTTGAGGCTAACAAAGGTCATTTTGTAATAACACACTCAAAGAGACCAAACCCTTATACTTGCATCTGAAATGCTGTGGACAGAATCCAGACACGTGAAGTCATAACCTAGAAAAAGGTGCTTCCTTTTAACCTCTTCTTTACAGATTTCAAGTTTCACTTTGTCTTTACATCCCAGATTCTCTTTGAGGTTTCTAAAGCCCAGAGAGAGGAAGGGATGTTTCCAAGGGCACCTAGCATGAGGGAATGATTGTAAACTCTGTTAGAGCAGAAGCCACATCTGCTTCTGCTGTATTCCCATCTCCTAGCACAGGACCTGGCACATAACTATTTGTGCTCCAAAACTATTTGTTTCATGAGTGAATGAATGAGCCATCATCACACTCAAGTGATTCTTTATCTTTTTGCCAAACCTCAGCAAGAGAAATCTTAACCTTAATTGTTCATGTGGATGAAATTTAAGGTCAAGTACTGATCCAGATGAATCCGCTGCCCTGTAGCTCCAGAAACCCCCTAACAATCACCCTGATTCAGGCTGGAGGAGGGGAAAGTGGAACAGGCTCTGGCGATAAAAGGGGTCATGACAGAAGCTGGAACTCTTCTTGGGAGGTGGCAAGCACAGATCCAGCAGGAGCCCTGTGGCTGAAGAGAAAATCTTTGATCAGGATCCTCAGACAACATGTAGTGCTGGGCGGCTCACTAGAACCTTTGTGGGTATGTCTCATCAGAGCTACACACCACTTCCATTTTTCAAAAAGACTCTGAGTCTCAGAGAAGCTCCATGGCTTAGTCAATGTCACACAGCTAATTAGTGCTAACGCTGGGGTGCAAAGCTGTTTTTTTTTTTTTAAATCATGCATTGAATATCTGTTGAATGACTGCTCTTGGCCGCACTCACGTGGGAGGCGTGGGGAGGAAGGAGACAGGGTCCTGCTCTCAGGTGTAGTGGAGGAGACAGGTGCACAATACACCGTAGAAGAACACAGAGGGTCAGCCAAGGGCTAAGGGAGTACAAGAAGGAAGCAGGTAACCCCTCACAGAGCAGGAGGGAGAGAAGAGACAGAGATGGAAGTATGCTCTGAGGGACAGGAGGAAGCCCCCACTGGGGGAGGGAGTGAGGACATGCCCCTTAAAAAAGGAAATTCTTGAGGCACTTGGGGGGCTCAGTCAATTAGGCTGCTGACTTTTGATTTCAGCTCACATCATGATCTCAGGGTCCCAGGACCGAGCCCCATGTTGGGCTCTGCACTCAGCAGGGGAGTCTGCCTCAGGATTCCTTCTCTCCTTCTGCCCCTCCCCTTGCTCTCTCTCTCTCTCTCTCTCTCTCTCTCTCTCTCTCAAATAATCTTTTAAAAAATAAAATGGAACTTCTTGGGCAAGATGTAGCCCTAGGAAAAGACAAGGTTTGTTTAGCAGAGGGGGAGCCTGCCAGCCCGTACAAATACTAGATGCATTGAGGACAAGTGAGGGGAAAAATCTGATCCTGAGGGACGGACAAGGGCTCCAGTGCTGTCACAGGACACTGGCCTCTCAGTCGGCCCAGGAAGGAGGAGGTGACTGTATCCTCTGTATGTTAAATTTCATACTCAGCTCCTGTTTCTGCTTTAGACCAGGGACTACCTGGGCCATAAGACAGCCTGCCTGCCTAACAAGACAGCTGTGCCTTGGGGACATGAGGGGTCCCTCCTATGAATACCTGACACTGGCATTTCCCCAGGAGACAGGGAGACCAGCTCAGAAGAGCAATGAAAGCCACCTGGGAGAAAAGTGTGCCTCCCCCTCCTTTAGAACTAGTCCCTGACTGACATGGCCCTGACAGATTAGAACCTGGTTTTCCCTCCTCCTGTAACATCACTGCCAGTATCATTTATCTCACAAGGCAATATGGAGACCAAGAAGGGAGCCACTTGGCTGGCATGACCAGGGATAAATCATGCGACCAGTGGCTCTATTGGAATATATACGTCCTTGTATGTTCTTTTAAAAATTAATAGATGAGGGGGGCACCTGGGTGGCTCGGTCGGTTAAGCATCTAACTCTTTTTTTTTTTAATTTTTTTTATTTATTTATGATAGTCACAGAGAGAGAGAGAGAGAGGCAGAGACACAGGCAGAGGGAGAAGCAGGCTCCATGCACTGGGAGCCCGACGTGGGATTTGATCCTGGGTCTCCAGGATCGCACCCTGGGCCAAAGGCAGGCACTAAACCGCTGCACCACCCAGGGATCCCAGCATCTAACTCTTGATTTCAGCTCAGGTCATGACCTCAGAGTCCTGGGATCGAGCTATACACACACACACACCGCCTGGTTGGGCTCCCCACTCAGCAGGAAATCTTGTCTACCTCTCCCTCAGCCCCTCCCCCTGCTTGTGCTGTCTCTCTAAAATAATTTTTTAATCCTAAAAAAAAAAAAAATCAACGGATGAGAGAAGGGGAAAAAAAAATCAATGGATGGCCTATCATTCCTTTTTTATTTTTATTTTTTATTTTTTTTGGCCTATCATTCCTTAAAGAGAAATGACTGCACATCAGGCTTACACATCCTGTGGAGTGTGAATGTCTGATCCTTAATGCCCAAAGGAACCATCAAGTAAGTATCACCCATAGTTACCCACGGGCCTTCAGACCTCACATCGCCTCATTCAGGGAAGAAGGGGCAGCCTTATGATAGGTGTGGTATGGTATGTTTCTGTCCATTTATTTTTCTTACTGCTGTACCCCCAGCACCTAAACAAGACCTAGCACAGAATAAGTATTCAAAGCATATTCAGCAAATGAATGAATCTAAAATACCAAGTGCAAAACTCAGCCATATGGAGTTATAACCTAGAAAAGATACTTCCTTTAACAGCCAAAAACTCTTTAGATTACAGAGGAGTATGCCAAACATGAATCCTACTCTCTTGTCTCCCCTGCCCCCACCATGAGGAGAACAATGAAGAGCCTAGGGGGCTAGAATGTGCCTATGTGCCTTGTCTCCTTAAGTTACAGCAGAGCTGCAGAGCTGAGAGGGCCAGCTTGCAGGCCTGAAGTCCAACCCTCTCATTATACAGATGATGAAACTAAACCACCGAGGCAGGGATAACCTGCCCCCGGTCAGGCTGCTTGGGCTTCCAGGCCAGTGAGAGCTTCCTCTGACACCTGTGTGGTCCGGACAGGACTGAGGGAGAATGAGATGGCAAACCAGACGGCTGTGACCGAATACATCTTGCTGGGGCTCCAGGAGCACCATAAGCTCGAGATGGTCCTGTTTGTGCTCTGCCTGGGCATCTACTCTGTGAATGTGCTGGGGAACTCCCTCCTCATAGTGCTGAACATGTTGGACCCCCGTCTGCACAGCCCCATGTACTTCTTCCTCAGCAACCTCTCCCTGATGGACATCTGTGGCACATCCTCCTTTGTGCCTCTCATGGTGGTCAACTTCCTGAAAACGCAGAGGACCATCTCCTTCCCTGGCTGTGCCCTGCAGATGTACCTGACCCTGGCTCTGGGCTCCACGGAGTGCCTGCTCCTGGCAGTGATGGCATACGACCGTTATGTGGCCATCTGCCAGCCACTTAGGTACCCAGAGATCATGCGTAGGCAGACATGTGTGCAGATGGCGGTGCTGAGCTGGGGGATGGGCTTTGCCAACTCACTGCTGCAGTCCCTTCTTACCTGGAATGTCTCCTTCTGTGGCCACAATATCATCAACCACTTCTTCTGTGAGATCTTGGCAGTGCTGAAACTGGCCTGCGGGGACATCTCTCTCAATGCACTGCTAATAATGGTGGCCACAGTTATCCTGACACTGGCCCCACTTCTGCTCATCTTCCTGTCCTACATTTTCATCCTCGCTACCATCCTTAGGGTGCCCTCAGCTGCAGGCCGGCGCAAAGCCTTCTCCACCTGCTCTGCCCACATCATAGTGGTGGTAGTTTTCTATGGGACCATCTCCTTCATGTACTTCAAGCCCAAGGCCAAGGACCCTGACCTGGATAAGATTATTGCATTGTTCTATGGGGTTGTGACACCCTCACTGAACCCTATCATCTACAGCCTGAGGAACGCAGAAGTGAAAGCTGCTGCTATAGCCCTGCTGTGGGGAGACCTGCTCTCCAGGAAGATGTCCCATCTTCCCTGTTGCTCTTCAACTCTATCATGCATGGCAGGCTGGTAATGACTTTGAATTGCAGTGGCTAAAACCCACAAGGGTTTATTTCTCACTCTTGCTGCAGATCCATTTGCTGTTGACTGGGTGGTTAGGGTCTCTCTGAGTCATTGTCTTCATCCCTCTGGGCCTCTGAACCATTGCTAGTCACCATGACAAAGCCCGAACTGGCTCTCTGAGCTTCACTTCCACCGCCACTTCATCAGCCAATGCAAGCATATGCCACAGCTAACATCGAGGGGCAGGTGAAGCACACTCATCATGTGTCCAGAAGGAACAGGAAGACTGAGAAATGTGTGAATAGTCTAATGGCTGCCATGTTATCCTACAGTCAACCCAAGAGCCACTGGAGATTTGCCTTCCTGACCATCACTGCCCCACACGTCCAGTCAGTCATAAAGTCCTAGAGAATCCACTGCCTAATGGCTCTTAAATGGGTCCTCTCCTTTCTACTAATATGCCTCATCAAGAAGACTTCACTATCTCTCTCTCTCAGATACTGCAACAGCTGTTTTCACCAAGCTTTCTTCCTGCAAACTCCCTTCAAAATCTACCCTCTCTGCTCACTGAAACACCAATCTGAAAAAACCTCAAAAAACAAATCCCAATCAGATCGTTCCACTCTCTTGCTTAACTCCCTCCAATGGCTCATTTCCCATGAGATAAAAAACAGACCCCACCTCTCCATCCAACCTCATCCTGGCTACTTATCTCAGCCCCACTCCACTCCCACACATTGTTCGGACTCAGGATCCCCAAACTATTCCCAGTTCCCCAGCAAATAACCAGTCTTTCCTGCCTCTGTGTTTCCCCCTTGCTCTTCCCTCTCCTGTCCAGCCACTTCTTGACCTTTATCTAACAGGTACTGGACACTTGTCACAGACCAGGCTAGGCATTATACTGTGTTCTAAGTGTGTTACTGACTGGGGACCACTTGGAATGACAGGAATCTCAGTGGAGGAATACAATATGGACACTGGTAACCAAAGAGAATCCTCTCCCAATACCTTGGCATTGTGGAAACTCATTCAATTCTTACTCAAATCTGCCCCCCTCTTCCAGAAAACCCCTTCTGAGTGGGGTCTGTCCTACTCTCCATCCCTCTTCAGTGACTTCTGTACTCTGACTCTGTCCTGAATCCCAGCGATTTGGGTTAATGCATCCTAGTGACCTGATGTTCCACATCATAAAATGGACTACTATTTCTGATACTGGAACAGACATGAAGGCCACTCCTCTTGGCTCACCATTCTGCTGGCCACATCACTCTGCTCAGTGCACCAAGGAAGAGACAGAATTACAGAAAGCAGAGGACAAAGGGATTTTTTTCTCTGGCTTTTGACCTTCAAAAACCTAGGCTCTAAAGTCTTAACAGGAGAGGCTGAAGGCATAGACAAAAGATTTGGGAGAAAATCTAAGTAAAAAGGAGGTTTCTCCACCTCCAGATTAATAAAAGCTAGGGAAAAGGAAGAGAGAGGAGGGGATGTAGTGAGAGCACTGGCACAGAAGTGTCCCAAAAGAAAGAGGCCCAGAGCCCCATTGCCTTGTCCAAACCCCTGGATAGGTTTGCAGGATCTGAAAGATGCAGCAATTCATGCCTTATTTGTCAAGTAAAATCCCGAGTGGACCCTCAGAATCAAAATGGCTTCAAGGTATATGTGGGCAGCCCAGGCCTCACAGGTCTGTATGTGGCACAGAAGTCAGGGAGAGCCATAGCACTGCAAAGCATTATGCAGATGGGAACAAGAAAGCACTCGGGACCGGGCAGAATGATGGAACTCTCAGGGGATGGTGCAGTGTGGACCTCGGTGACCAGAAAACAGTCTCTCAACATCTTCCCATTATATAAGATCCTTGAGACTGCTGTGACCCTTGTGGAAGAGAAGAAATCCCAAATTGATGAAGGATCTCTCTCAGGCAAAATGGGGGCTCAAAACAGAAGTTACGTTCTTGTGATATTTCTTGTACATTTGTGACTTGTACCTGCTAGTCCAATTTCCTGAGACCTCAGCTTCCTTTCCTGTTGGGTGTGGGCACAAGGGAGGTCGTCTTGCTAATTTAAATCATCTCAGCACACACACACACACACAAACATACACACATTCCCTACTCCCAGCAGCTGCAGCCTGCCATGATGGGGCAAAAGCCTCAGGCAGAAGTTCCAGCAGCTCATTCCAGCTGGGCTCCCACCACCCCTGCTGATTTCCTCAGACCCTCTTTTCCTCTCCTCCCCATACCCTTGGCCCCAGGAAAAAAGGCAGCAGAGATCCAGCAAATACTTCATTGGAGACACGCCAGACTCCACCTGCATCAACTCAGAATACCAGTCACTCCTGCCCCAGCCCCATCAGTCCTGTAATCCCCCTCCCAGCATAGCATGGCACAGCATGGCCAAGACGCTGCCTTGGGAAGGAAGCCTGAGGCCAGAGTTGCTGAGCTGCTGGGAAGATCAACTGGAGATTCAGTTTCCCCAAGGTAGACTCCATTTCCTCGGGAATGATGCCATGTCCTGAGAGGGCTTTGTCTCCCTCGGAAGGAATCCAGGTCCTTATGAGGGCTCCATATCCCTAGGAAGGACTCTACACCCCTATGAGGGACTCCTTGGTCCTGAGGGGCTCTTGGGGCCTGCATGGGCTCCAGTCCTTAAGAAGGATCCATGGATGCAGGAAGACTCCAGGCCTTCAGGAAGCACGCCAAGTCCGTAGAAGAGCTCCTTGTCTTTAAGAAACACTCCATGTTCTCAAGAAATACAACCTGTCTCTTATCCCTGGGTAGGTTCCACACTCCCAGAAAGGGCTCTCTGCCCCTAGGAAGGGTTCATGTTCCCCAAGGGCCAGGCCCAAAGTCCCTCTCAGCTGGCACAGATGCTGTTGACAGTGGCCCCTCCTGGGCCCACAAGGCCCAGCTCCTCCTGCTCATTGATGCACAGCTGGTAACCACAGCCCCGGGCCCGGGCTCCAGATGGGACCCGGTGGTCAGTCTTAGCTCGTGGGGGCAGCAAGAAGCCCACACTGCCAGCGATGAGCATATGCCAAATGCTGTGAATGTAGAAGTAGTTGTCTCGAGTCTCCACAAATGCATAGAGTAGGACAGCACTGCCTGCAATCAGGCTGCCTGGACACAGGTAGAAAAGCCAGCGACGCCACGTGGGTGGGTAGCAGTGCCGGCGGCGGACGCTGCGTACTGTCTGGGGGAAGCAGAGAAGTGGGACTCAGGAATACAAGGCCTTGGAACCCAAGCCAGAACTAGTCATTCTCAGGCTTCCCCAGAGCCCTGGCTCAGATCTAAAGGCACCTGCCAAGACTGGTGTGGGTACCACGAATAGCACAATGATGATGACAGAGTCCAAGCCCATCTTAAATTGGGGACCAGATACTCAGGACCCTGTACCCAAGTCTTGCTGGGCCACCCCCCTCCCCAAGCCCTCCCAACCTTACCCAGGCTGTGGCCAAGATCCCCAGGGCGAAGAGACTGGGTCCAAGCAGGTTCCAGAGTCCATGCCGGTCAAGCTGTAGAGCCATAGACAGCAGCATAGCTCCCAGCAAATACAGCACCTGGAGAAAGAGGACTCCAGGCGCTGGGCTGGGTTGGCAAGAGGTACTTGGCAATGCCCCCAGGGAGATATTGGGAGTGAATTTCAAGTTGGCCCTACAGTTGTCCCCCAGGGCCCACTCTGGACTGACCTGCTTAACCACAGGCTGTAAACGAGCCATGGCAATGACAGTGACCCACACGGACATTAAGGAGCCCAGGAAATCACAGAACTGCAGCACATCGTAGTCCATGATGCAGAAAACCACAATGCCTGGCTGGTCACAAGCATGGTAAAACTGGAGGAAGAAATGACAAGCATTGAGAGAACTTGGGGCAATGGCCCAGATCCATGAAACTGGAGACAGAGGCCACAAGGGTGGTGTGCTGCTGTCAGAAAAGCAGAGGTTAGAGGTCACAGACTGAGCAGAATCCAGAAATGCCTGACTCCCTGCTCCTGAGAAGAATGTGGTAGGGAGGCCTAGTCTGCCTCACAAACCATACGTAGCTGCCAGCCCTGACCCTGTCCTCACCCTCCTAATCTCCTCCCACACACATCATAGTGGCATGCTCATTCCCCCCCATCACTTGACACTGCCCCCTCTTCATGTCTGGAAGAATAGATTGTTACAGTGATGGAAGAAAAAAATTAAAATGCTATAATGGGAAGGAAAAGGTCTTTGACCTATATAAACTTGACAAAAATCTACTAATTGGAGCTGATCTTGAGACCTACTAGCAGATTTTATGGGATCAAAAAAGTTTCCTAAGATCCTGTCCCCTGCATGTTACCCTAGGTCCTCTGGGAGCCATGGCTCTGAGGGCATCTCTTGATAGCACAAACCAGCTGGTGTAGTTGCCAGGGTTGGACTGGAGTCATCGGGCTGAACTGAGGCTGGGGCAAGAAAGCTAAGTGTTGGACCACCCAAAGGTGTCTTGGGAAGTGGCTTGATCCCTGACGGAAAGGATCCTTTAGGTACTTTCAACCTAGGTCTATTTCTTCATCATTCTATTGAAAGGCAACTCTAAGTCACAAGGGCTCAGGAGTCTAAAAGAGAGGCGGCCTTACAGACCTCAGTGAAACAGGCAACCCGGACCTCCTGGGGCATATCCTTGGCTGTGGGTGGAAAGCAGGGCGATCTAACCCACCGCTGAGGAAACAGGTCACTGAGCAATATCACAGGTCATTTACTTCTGGCAGCCGCATTCTCTGTAACTTTGGGGAAGAATAGAAATGGAAGTACCAGATCTGGTCTCCTGTTTGGCTGCATTAGGGTTGAGAATGAGACAGTGGAGGTGAAGTCAGGAAAGGAGTTCAGGAAAAAGGAGCATCCTATCCTGAACTCAAATCACAAACCATGATACCCCAACCTTAATCAAACAGCATCCCCCTTAGAAGCAAGCAGGTGGGAAACTGAACCAAGTCTGTTATGAAATGTAGCAGAATCCAGGCCCCGAGCAGAGCTGCCAACCACACAGTGGGAAAACAGACTCAAACGTTCTCTAGAGACAAAGGATGAGAATGAAATTGCTACGTTTCTTTGGAACTTGTTGAAGTTTACATCCAGTCATTCAAATTATAAAATTTGTAACTTTGATAAAGTGGAAAAGGTGAACAATGTAAGAACAGGGAGAAGCTAGAAGTTTAGAAAAAGAAAAAAATTTAAAAAGAAAACAGGGATATTAATTGGCATTGGGAAACCTTGGGTTTGATTGCGTCAAATTTTCAAGTCTTATTCTGGGTACCTCCCTGTATCTTCTGTCTTTCCCTTTGCTTTGGAGGTAAAGAATGCTGTCCCTTCAGGAAAGGGCTGCTTTGGAATGATCATGCTTTAAGTACTCCAAGCTTTTGAAATGGTTTTAAGTTTAGCGACATGGCTCCTTCTTACATATTATTAAATTGAGAGCGTGAGCTCTTACTGGGAAATCTGAGAGACTTTTCATGGGAGTCTGCATCTGCATTAGAATTAGTATCTGAACACACCTAAAAGATTGATTTTTTTTTCAATTCCTTCTTTCTCTTGTATGTGCTGATTAATTGGGAGTTAATTTAGTTTCTAAGCAAATCGATATTTTGGTCTTTTGCTATTTTAGCTATTGGGTATTGATTATTCTCTACCTCTAAGACCAAATGTAAGTACTATAGCTACTAAATTATTATTCGATACTATTTTCTGATTTGGATTTTATTCTAAAACATTAATTTTACATTTCAGTCTTCACCAAGCTTGCTCCATCTGCCTGAGTTTCAAGTATATAAAAGGAAATGCCCAAACATTTCTGGAAGAGGGACTTGTAATAAATTCTTCCATCTCAGATAAGACAAGATATATACCTGAAGAAAAGCAAAGCTAAATCACCTAATATCGAAGACACATATAAGGGAATAATTAATTGAAGGCTGATTTTTCTCCTAGGAATTTCTCTGCAATGAAAAAGGAGTAGTGGCTAATGGAGAGACTGTCTCCAGAGTAGAGAGGTTTGAGGAAAAATCATCACATGAGTATTCTATGACTGATTATTCTCCAAGCATACTAAAAAGTCAGAGAGACTTTTAAGGTAGTAGAAAACCTACAGGAGTTAAATTAAAATTGCATTGTGAAGTGAACAAGATGATGCACCTTTCACCAATCCTGATCTATGATTACTGCTGAATGTCTAAAAACAACATTGGTAAAGTCCATCACTGACCCCTTGATGGGGCACAATTCACTAGGGAAGCCAACTCACAACCTGTGTCAGCTTACTTCACTGAAACTCCTCAACCTTGGGAAGACAGTATCTTGTCATCATATATTCTGGATATATATTTGTTCCCTCTACCTGCAGTGCTTCCACTTGCCTTATTATTCATGGAGCAGAATCCACAGTTCATTGCCATGGTGCCCCACTTATTACCATCTTTAACCAGGAGATACAATTTATAGTAAACAAAGTGAATCATTCATCACTATAGAATTCACTGGTATAAATGTATTATCTATCACCCAGGAGCAACCAGCTGAACAAAACACTAGAATGGCCTACTGAAGGCTTAGTTATGGTATCGCCTGGGAGACTCTATTGTATAAGTCTGGAATACCGTCCTAAATGTTTGGTGCAGTTTGTGCTCAGTAAGCTTTAGTCATCTTATACTTTATGCCATGTATGTTCATGAGAGAATATCCCTACACTAATAAACTTTCCTCCAGGAAAGGAGGATGGAAGGAAGGAAGGAAGGAAGGAAGGAAGGAAGGAAGGAAGGAAGGAGACTTGCAGTATTGTTGATCCACTTGCAGTATTCCTGATTCACTGAAATTACAGGCTAATTTTTACATTTTCATATATATATAATCTTCCTTTGTCAACAGCAATAAAAAAAAGTCACGGAAATAACACGGAAAATTTGAGAAATTTAAGAAAAGAAATTTAGACTACAAACTGGCTTCTGTTAATATAATTCTCATCTAATTTGACATCCCCTTCAGCGTTGGACATTTGTGAGGTAATTTTTGAAAATTAACCTAAATTTTTTTCTGTGAGATTTTATATTTTGTATAACATAACTATATAGTTCATCTAATGCTTCAAAATGGAGTACCCAGGCACTACAGAACTGGAAATGCAAATACATTCACTCCATGCAGTGACTGGAATATTTGCACTTAGGATATAATGGAACTTACTGCTATTCTTTTATTTTCTGCCTCCTTTTCCTCTTGGAAAAAGTCATGGGATTTTGCCAAGGGCCACTAAGAATTACTTTCAAGGTATGAGGAACAGAAGAGGTATGATAAGGCAGGCTTGTAACCAAGATGTCCACAATCAGCAAGGAAGGCCCTAGGGGCCTCAGGTCAGCTCTTTGGGGAACAGATTAGAAGAATTCAACTAGCACTGGGAAAGATTCACAGCTTGAACTGCATGGGTTAGAGCTGTACAACTGCAATGTTTGCTGTATTTCCCTCGATGACTTCTTGTATTTGTTATACAATATAGCTCAATGATTGCATGTAGGAAATCTAGAGTCAGGCTGAGTGAGAATTCTGCTTCTACCACTCATGTTACACCTCAAGGTACTTAAATTGTCCTCATCTGCATAAAGGGATGATGATGATATAAGTACCTATCTATTACTCTAGTGGTACTGTGAGGAATTGATTAGCAGTGTTGACACACCAGATGTTATGCTGTTTCCATTATCTGAATTGGTCTGGCTATACACAAAATCAAGTGCTGGATTTGTGACCTGTTTTTCTGTTAACATACCTTACATATTATATAACATATGTTGCATTTTAAATATTTTACACATTTACACTTTATACTCTTGAAGAACAAACCTACCCCCATGCCCTGGATGGGAATCAATGTCCTACTCCCAGGTGTAGACTCTCCTGGCTTTAAAGACAGGGAAGAAGACAATCCTGTATGTCCTGGTACTGTTATCTGCAATATAACCAGTGGGTCCTTAAAAGTAGACTGTTGAGGAATGAAATAAGTATAAACTAAATAAAGAATGGTTAAGGAAAAGTAATGGGGAACCTGCCCAGGAAAACTGGATGACCAGCAGTTGTACATTTTGTCCCATATGGGAAAAGAAGAGGAGTTAGAGCAAGACTTCAGGCAACACGGTAGAGTCAGTATCTTTTCCTTGATCTTTTGCATATTATCCTATTTTTTTCTTTTTTAAATAAGCCCCACACCCAACATGGGCTTGAACTCACAAGCCCGAGATTGGGGGTCACCTGCTCTACTGACTGAGCCAGCCAGGCACTCTGCTCATTATCCTATTTAAGAAAGTGGAAGCTCTGTATGTGATGTCAGTCACTGATGTCCAATTGGGGGAAAAGGTCTTTTCTTTCAAGGACAATTTGCCATTGTATCCAGAATATAAGGAGTCATCTAGTACTAAACACTCTGGAGCCAACACCGGGATGCTTGAGCAAAGTACAGGAAAATGAACACACTCTCCCCACATCTTCCAGGCTCCTGATACACTTAGCTACTGTTACTGATTGTGAATCCAATTAGATCTGCATGCAGTCAAGAGTGGGCTGGTGGAACAGCTGTTGCTAGAGGATTTGGTGAGCAACAGTATAAAGGGCATCTGGCAGTTAAAAAGAGAGAGAGAGAATGAGAAACAGTGTCTACTATAAAAATAGAATGAAAAAAAAATAGAATGAGGCACTGTCAGAGCAGGTCTAAAAAGGGGGGCAGCCAAGCAAAATTGGAAGTGTGCTCTTCTCACCCAGCTGAAGAGGAGAAGGTCTCTGTACACAGCGTAGTTATAGCCTCCTCTTCCTCATCTGTGCATGCTCATCCTTGAGGACCCTACAACATGCCCCTCAGTTTCAGAACATTCACCCCCTACCTTCCTGCTAAATGATAAGTAGGGCTTTTGTAATTTGGACATATGTCTGATCTATTAATGCTGAACAAAAGGGAAGCACATATTGGTTTCTGTGATATTCTTGTCACCAAGACATGAGGAAAGTCTGAATCCATCTGAGATTTTTGCAGTGCTCACAGAAAGGCACTGTATGTCACAAGATGCCAAGAGCCCAAAGATGAGCTGAAAAGATCCCTAGATAAAATATCTCAGGGGGAAAGTCTACATGGAGGCTAAATCTCATTAACAGACTCACTCCTCTACCTTTTCCTTATACTGTTTATGATGCTTTCTGGTAAGATGAACTTTTCTGATTATGGAGGAGTGCAAAAACACAGACAGGGGACTGTGGACATTCTGTAATGGGAGGGGAAGGATTTAAAACTATTAAATCTTCATCAAAACATGTTCCTTTGAACTGGAATTTTATATCACACTGCCACTTCCCATGGCGTCTCAGGACATACCTGAGTCTACATAATTTCTTAGGATCCCAAGAGTCAGAATGTTCTATAAATTACCCAGTTATAGAGATCCTCTGTCTTCAAAAAGTTCCCATGAGAAATCAAGGAGGCCATGGTGACTGAATGGGGAGTACCTTTTCACACCATAAGAAAGAACAAGCTAAAGATATAGAAGTGTCCAGTGCAATGAAGACCATGAGCACAGTATAGCTAGCCCTCATATCATGAGAGATGAAAGTAAAGACTCCATATAGAGACATGGGAGAAAGTGCAGATCTCTTGTCACCATACAGAAGAGAAAAGGTGAAGCTGCAGACACCATTCCATACTGTAGAACAGCCAAGTGTATTATGGTAAAGGTCCCCATGGACAGCTGGAAACCACACACTATTTCTAGTGGCTGTTGGTTGTTTCAAGTTACAAAAAGCCTTGTTCATTTATCCTGATGTGCCTTGCAAAAATTACCATATCCTAGTGCACCATGCCGCAACACTGCTGTGGAAGACACCGTGAAGAGAAGACATCCTCATATAATGAAGGTGTAGACATCCCCAAACCCATGGAAAACACAGTGGAAATGCAGACCCTCACCCATCACCATGAATAAGGACTCAATGAAGACAGAGATGCACCGCATACCGTGGAGAAGAACATGGTGAAGGTGTAGACAGCAGCTTCCAGCACATATCGGCTCCGAATGGCCAGGACCACGGGGGGTAAAAACATGAGGTTGCTCAAGCAGAGCAGTAACGTGGACAGCAGCTGGAATCCGTAGGTGAGCGCATCTGCACTGTCGGTGCAGCCCCAGCCCCTCCACCCTGCGAGTGGGGAGGGCACAAGGTGGAAGAGGGCCCAAGGCAGCCACAGGTTCCCCACTCCTGCTGGTGGCCTCATGCCAGGCCCTACACCACCCAGTGAAGGGTGGTCTCACCCTGGCTCCGCCCTCCCAGTCTCTCCAAACCCATCCTCAATTCAAAGAGCCACCGCCCATCCAGGCCACCCCCTCCAACCCTTAAAGCCCACCGGGCTCCCTCGCCTGCCCAGCCCGCTCACCGGCCTTGCACTCGCAGGCAGCGTACAGGTAGTTGTGCGTACGCAGCAGCTTGCACTGGCCGTAGGGCCCACAGTCATCCACGCAAGGGGACAGGAAAGTGCGCAGCCGCACCTCTGCCGTGGCGTTCCGGCACCGCACGTACCTGCGCACACACCGGGCTGTCAGCTGGGGCTCAGGCCCTATATCTGTGTCCTGGTCCGCCCTGCACCACCGCGCCCCCAGCCCCCAGCCCCCATCCCGCTCACCGAGGCCCCACCCCACACAGGGAGCGCAGGGTCAGGAACCAGGTCCCAGTCTGTGGGAAAGGGATTCGCAGCCTGGCCACTCTGGAAGTGGCACTGACGGAGAGGAGGAAGCCAGCCAGGGACTCTTAGGGGAGAAGGGAGAAGAGGGGTTATCAGTGAGAGAGGGGAGGATCAGTGTGGGGTCAAGACCTAAAGAACCTTCACCCACCTGACTCCACTTCCCCAGCCCATCCTTCCTCCATATCATCCCCCAATACCCCCAGCCCCAGGCTGCTTCCCCCATTCCTCACCCCCACCTTTAGAACAGGTCACCGCTGCATCCCCCAGGCTCAAGGGCACCTCGTGAGTCAGGCATCCAAACACTGTCACATTTTCCTGGAGCAGGGAGCTCTGGGGAGGGCAGGTATGAAGATGAGGCTGTCACACCCTCCAGGCCCTGGCACCACCCCCACCACTTCTACACCGGTTAACCCCTCTCCAGAAACCCCTCTGGGAACTCACCAGATATCCCATTCCTGCAAATACTCTCCACTCCAAAGCACACTTTTCTCTCTCTCCCTCTTTCTCTCTTTTTCCCTCTCTCATCTCCATTCTTAGAAAAACTGGAGAACACCAGATCCTCCACAGCAGAGATATTTCAAAGACTGATGAGAAGGCAAGGCCCAGTTCTAAATGTTGTCTTTGAGCAGAATTGTTTAAACTCTGTCCAGACAAGAGAACACCCTGTTTCAGCCCAATCTAGCTTACTGGAAGGAGTGGGAGGGGGGTTGTTGCTGGATGTAGAAACTAGTTGTGAACAAAGAAAACTAAGGTTTTCAATCATTTTCACTTGGGTCTGAAGGCAGGAGGAGTGTAAAGAAATGTACTCTTCCTCAGGTGAAATGATCCTAGATATTGAAGGTAACAGAATGCCTGGGGGGTTAATGTAGCAACCTGTCTGGGATTTAAAGAAACCAGATATCCACAGAAGTAAATGTAAGGGGTGTCTACAAGAATAAAAGTAATTGAATGCTATAAGCTCACCTCATTCAAGGAGTTAAGGTAGCTTATTAAATGTGTATGATAGAATAAAATAAATGCATGAGGGAAATTTAAAAATCAAGATAGAAAAATAAAGTCCTTCCCTAGATATATGTGAGGCATATATTTGATGCTGACTTCCAAGCAACCAAAGCAAAAAAGGAAACATAATGAGTTACCAGATTTTATCTTATGAGTCCATAAGATAAATTTAATTAGAGTCTCAGGAAAAGCACAGCATCTAAAGTGGTGGTTCTCTGGAAAATTCTCATCAGAGCAGCTCTGTGTTCTGTCATGCATCCTGTCCTTAACCACAGAGTGAATTTCATACAACTTGCTTATAACTTCCCTCAATGCAAACCTGGGTAATATACCAAAGCATTATTCCATAAAAGTCATTCTAGTGGGAAGCCAAAGGAAAAAAAATGTCCTCCAGGTATGCAGTTCTCTGATCCAAATGTTCAGAACTTGACTCCAAGAGAAAAAAAATCAAAATACAGACAACAAAAAGAAATAAGAGGTATTCAAATTGGTAAAGAAGAAGTCAAACTCTCCCTCTTCACAGAAGACATGATACTGTACATAGAAAACCCAAAGACTCCACCCCAAGATTACTAGAACTCATACAGCAATTCGGCCATGTGGCAGGATACAAAATGCCCAGAAATCAGTGGCATTTCTATACATTAACAATGAGACTGAAGAAAGAGAAATTAAGGAGTCAATCTTATTTACAATTCCACCCAAAAGTATAAGATACCTAGGAATAAACCTAACCAAAGAGGTAAGGGATCTATACCCTAAAAACTACAGAACACTTCTAAGGAAATTGAGGAAGACACAAAGAGATGGAAAAACATTCCATGCTCATGGATTGGAAGAATTAATATTGTGAAAATGTCTATGCTACCCAGGGCAATTTACACGTTCAATGCAATCCCTATCAAAATACCATGGACTTTCTTCAGAGAGTTGGAACAAATCATCTTAAGATTTGTGTGGAATCAGAAAAGACCCCAAATAGCCACGGGAATATTGAAAAAGAAAACCAGAGCCGGGGGCATCACAATGCCGGATTTCAAGTTGTACTACAAAGCTGTGCTCATCAAGACAGGGTGGTACTGGCACAAAAACAGACACATAGATCAATGGAACAGAATAGAGAATCCAGAAATGGGCCCTCAACTCTATGGTCAACTAATCTTTGACAAAGCAGGAAAGACTATCCACTGGAAAAAGGACAGTCTCTTCAATAAATGGTGCTGGGAAAATTGGACAGCCACATGCAGAAGAATGAAACTAGACCATTCTCTTACACCATACACAAAGATACACTCAAAATGTATGAAAGATCTAAATGTGAGACAAGAATCCATCAAATCCCTAGAGGAGAACACAGGCAACACCCTTTTGAACTTGGCCACAGCAACTTCTTGCAAGATACATCTATGAAGGCAAGGGAAACAAAAGCAAAAATGCATTATTGGACATAATCAAGATAAAAAGCTTCTGCACAGCACAAGAAACAGTCAATAAAACTAAAAGACAACTTACAGAATGGGAGAAGATATTTGCAAATGACATATCAGATAAAGGGCTAGTACCCAAGATCTATAAAGAACTTATTAAACTCAACAGCAAAGAAACAAATCAGCCAATCCAATCATGAAATGGGCAAAAGACATGAACAAAAATTTCACCAAAGAAGACATAGACATGGCCAACAAGGACATGAGAAAATGCTCTGCATCACTGGCCATCAGGGAAATACAAATCAAAACCACAATGAGATACCACCTCATACCAGTGAGAATGGGGAAAATTAACAAGACAGGAAACAACAAATGTTGGAAAGGATGTGGAGAAAGGGGAACTCTCCTGCACTGTTGGTGGGAATGTGAACTGGGATAGCCACTCTGGAAAACTGTGTGGAGGTTCCTCAAAGAGTTAAAAATAGACCTGCCCTATGACCCAGCAATTGCACTGCTGGGGATTTACCGCAAAGATACAGATGCAGTGAAAAGGCAAGACACCTGCACCCCAATGTTTATAGCAGCAATGTCCACAATAGCCAAACTGTGGAAGGAGCCTTGGTGTCTATTGAAAGATGAATGAATAAAAAATAATAAAAAAAAGAATGGATAAAGATGTGGTCTATATATACAATGAAATATTAGCCATTAGAAACGATGAATACCCACCATTTGCTTCAATGTGGATGGAATTGGAGGGTATTATGCTGAGCAAAGTAGGTCAATCGGAGAAGACAAACATTATATGGTCTCATTCATACAGGGAATATAAAAAATAGTGAAAGGGATTATAGGGAAAAGGAGAGAAAATGAGTGGGAAATATCAGAGAGGGAGACAGAACATGAGAGACTCCTAATTCGGGGATCCCTGGGTGGCTCAGCGGTTTGGCTCCTGCCTTTGGCCCGGGGCGGGATCCTGGAGTCCCGGGATTGAGTCCCACGTCGGGCTCCTGGCATGGAGTCTGCTTCTCCCTCTCCCTGTGTCTCTGCCTCTCTCTATCATAAATAAATAAATAAATCTAAAAAAAAAAGAGAGAGAGAGAGACTCCTAACTCTGGGAAACAAACAAGGGATTGTGGAAGGGGAGGTGAGTGGGGGGATGGGGTGACTGGATGATGGGCACTGAGGGGGGCACTTGACGGGATGAGCACTGGGTATTATACTATATGTTAGCAAATCGAACTCCAATAAAAAAAAAAGTATTTTCACTACTTTGTCCTGGGGGGAAAAAAATCAAAATACTCAGAGGGAAAAATTAGAGTAGATGAACCAATATGTTTTTCAGAATAAATATAGTGGGCTGTTTGGGGTATATAACAAATGTCATAGCATGCAAATGGGTGTAATATAAGCAGATAAATTTAGAAAGGGACAAGGTGAAAGGTTACAGGGGGGTTGGGCCTCTACTCTTAAGATACTAAGGAAAAACAAGTATGCGTGGTACTGGTCTCTGAAACAGGCTCTTTCGTTACAATGTCAAATCAAGACCTCACTGACAGCCCAAAGGCAATAAGAGCCACAGAGAATTTAATTGTGAAAATAAGAAATGTTTTTGTGTTTAAGAATCTGCTCTGTCCTGACCAGCAGGAAGACTTGAAAAGCTGTACATCCTCTAAAAGACCACATCTAGCCACAAACCTGGTCTCAGGAAGGCTGATAGGAAAATGGGCCTGCCCCCAGAACTGGGGAATAGTAGAGTTAAAAGAATTGCTGGCTGGGGTAACAGTACATAAATTACTGGCTCAATGCCAGCCCAAGACAGTCACTAACGGTTCTGCCCTAAGCCCATTGTTAATTAATGCTAAAAACAATTACTAAGAGTTACAGAAGGCTGGCTTTTCAAGTGTGTGAATTACATAAAGCAAGGAAGACTCAAAGCCCGAACTAGTATTAGGCAGTGGCTCAAAGATGGACTTAAATTCTTTCATTCAAATTAAACAGCTCACTGCAAAAATGTGAGGTGGGAATTGGCAGCATTTCACATGAACCAGGCTCAGGGCACAAAAACCTATGTGTCCCTTAGTTACAAGTAGATCAACACAGAGACTAACGCAAAAAGAAAAAAAAAAAAAAAGACACACAGTTTTAGGTCTTCGATTTTCCAAAGCTTTTACATGTGATCCTATTATTTTTATAATAAAAAAGTAAATGCATACCAACTGGTTTGAAGAAAAAGAAAAAAGGAAGACCCAGAAATCTTAGTTCACCACAGCCCCAGATGATCCCGTGGGGTGATGTGGCAGCTCAAAGGGGGAACTTGACCTCAGGCTGCAGAAACACTGCCTGCCACCCTGATCAGACCCCCTTGTATCACTTATCTCAGAGCCACTATGACCAGAGGAGAGGGCAGAGGATGGGGGGAGGTCTAAGATGCTAAAGTTGTTCAGCTTGGGGGAGATGAGGGGCATCTGCAGGGCTGTCAAACAGGATAGGAATGTAACAACCGTACCACACCAATATGAGATGTAAAATAAGAGGGAGAACTGTGCAGCGGAAGAGGGAACATGGGAACTCCTTGTATTTTCTGTCCAATTTCTCTGTAAGCTTAAAATTGCTCTGAAAAATCAAGTCTGTTAACTTAAAAAAAGAGAAGGACAGAGATAGATTTACTGGATGTAGCTTCTGGGGCAAAACAAAGATTGGTGGGTAGAAATTATAGAGGCAGATTTTCATGGACTGTCAGGACTGCCTTTAGCAATCAGAGCTAAATATGGACTCTATGACCTCAAGAGGGAGTGAACTCCCTATCACAGGAGATATGCAAGAACATGGACACTTGCCATAGAGGCCCTTAAGAGGTAGAAGGTTAGCCTATAAAATGGATAACTGAGCCCACTCTGAGTTGGATTGGCTAACCTAGCCTACCCGTAGCATAGAGAGGCAACACTCAGGGAATGTTTGTTGATCAGACTTGGGCTGAGACATTGTCCCTAATCACAAAGTGGGCCAAAAGCGACCCAGATGTACTTCCAGAAGGAGGTAAGAACCCGCACACCCCTGACATCTTCTCCTTCAAGTTCCCCTCCAGAGCAACCTCCCCACTTTCCACCAAGAGTACCACATTGAGCTGGAGCTCCAAGCTGAGGACACCTCCGCTGTCCAGCACTGGTAGCAGCCTCAGGGCAAACACTGCAGGGCGTTCAGGCGGTAGGGCCACACTGGGGCCAAAGAAGATGTAGAAGTGGACGGAGAAGGTGTCCAGCTCATTGCGCAGTGTTGGGCGCACTGGCCAGCAGTGCTCTGGTGGGGATGTGGCCCCAGGCCCCTCCGCAGAGGCCCCCAGGGATGGCGGCTCTGGGGGCAGTGGCTGGTTGCCCAGGGACTGGGGCATGTTCATGGCAGCTCCAGGGACGAGGACACGGGACAGGCTGGGCTGTGGGCACTCTGTGGGCAGAGGAAATCAGTGCTGGGGCCTGCCACTCTCACAAATCCTGCAGCCTCACCACAAACCAGATCTGAGCCAGACAGGAATGAGCAAAGGGTAGGGAGTGATGAGAACTAGAATCCAATGTCCTTGGAAGTATGGGGCATCCAGGGTCACAGGATAGGGCCCAAGGGACTCCTAGTGGTCACAGCCAATAGGATGTCAGGGAGTCAAGGTCATCTCTCCCTCCCCAAAGGCAGTGAAGACACTGCTGAAACAGATGATGGGCCCTCCCACTGATCTGCATGGGCTTTGGCAAGGATAGCGTCCTGGCACCTGGGAAACTGAAAGAGAAATTAAATCAAGGATAGTAAGGTGGTCCCTTAGTTAGCCCCAGTCAGGTGCAAAAAATTATCTAAAGGCCTTCCAATGAATCAAAACATCAGGTGGAAGGGCTTTAGGGAGTGTGAAGGAGCCTGGATGGGGTTGGGGAGATTATAGGGACGTGGCAAAGGGTCAATGAACACAACCACCATGACTGCCTCTTCCCAGCCACAGAAGTTGACCCAGGCTGAGTGGCTAAGGTGGATGTGGGGCTTCTGACCTTGCAACCGCACACACAGCTGGAAGCGGATGGTCCTGCCAGGACCCCGGGATGGTATCTCCACACGCACGTAGACCCAGTGCCCCCAGGGGGGCAGTGCCAGCTCCAGCTGGCATACTGAGGCACCTCCACAGGACACAGAGCTTGAGTTGTGCAGAGGTGGGGCCTTGGGACGTAGGCGCAATGTCAGTGGGCAGGCCAACACCCCACGACTCCCCACACATACCAGCTGTGCTGAAACCCTGTAAGTAAAGCTGGGCACAAAGACCCTGGGCAGAGGGAAGGTGGGGGTAAAAAAAGACAGGTGAGAGGGCGAGAAGGACCCCAGAATAAGGAAAATACATTTGTGTCCCCCAGAGGGACAGGGGAGACAGGCGATCAGGATGCCTTTCTGCTTCCTTCCCTCTGTGCTAGGAGGGAGGTAGGCTGGGGTCCAACCCACCCTGGAGGCTCTGGGGGCTCCAGCAGCCCAAGTTGGCCAGCAGGAAAGTAGGAACAGGTAGATAGGCAGAGAAGCCAAAAGAACCCTGTTCACTGTTTGAGGCCAGGGAAGGAAGAGGGCAAGAGTCAGATTTGGGGAAGTATTCAACTTACTTGTACAGCGCTGAGCGATTGTGAGCGGAGAGAGTTTGCTCTGAGGGACGGCCAGGCACCAGCACAGCAACATCCAGCAAACGGCGGACAATTAGCTGCGGCTGAAGAAGGTACTGACACTCATCCTGGAGACCCTAAGACAAAAGCAGGAGTGGTGGGAGGGGAGAGACAGCAAGGGTGCTACTGAAGCAAGGAAAACAGAATCTGCTGAAGGATGGGGGACAAAGCTCCTCTGGCCTCTTGCTCCCAGGGCTAGAACTGAGGTCTCTCTAAGCTCTGGGTCCCTCCTGCCTGTTCTCCACCTCTGTTTTTCCTAGGTGCGTGGAATCTGCTATGATCCACAGCACTGGCTAAGGTCTGGGGACTCACACCCAGGCCTTCCTAACTATCAGGCCTATGCCTCCTCTATGCTAATCCCTAGTCCTGAGCACTTCCTAACAACCCCTCAAGGTCATTTCAAACCACCCCATTTCCACTCTGGCTCTCTTGGGGTTAGAAAGTTCCTTGAGGCTGCTAGTCCAAACCTACCCAGCCCACTAATCTGAATCTCTAAATTCCTTTATTCCCTACTGAGCCCTCCCAAAGGACTCTGCTTGTCCAGCCTCTGCTTTAACACCACAGGGAAGGGCCACTCTACCTCCTAGGCAATCTCCAGAGCGTAAGCAACTTGAAAATGGAAACCTTGTCTTATGCTATTTTTGCTCCCCCAGACATGGAGCCTAATGTAAAGTGCATATATGAATATCTGCTGAATAAATGGGTGAACAAATGAATCAACACAGGTACGGGTAGCTCTGATGTTTATGAAGCCAAAGCCTGTTCTCTGTCTCCCCTCCCATTGCTCTGCCACAGGGGACCCACAAATACATCTGCTCCTTCTGAATCAGGCTGGGTTTCTTCCATTACTGGACACAACAGCCACATCTAAGCTGCTCTTCTGGGTGAGGTCCCTGACCCTTGTTGACTCAGTTCACACCACCCCAGCACGTACGGCCTCCCTACTCTTCGGCAGGCAGCGTCCCTTCGTTCTGGTCCCTCCTCTGCAGCATCTGCAGCTACCTAAGCCTTCCGGACCCAGCAGGTCAGAGGAGGACAGGGCTCCTGGTGAGGCTTCTCTGTTCTTCTGGACAAATGGCCTTATGCCGGCCCAAGAAACTGGAGGCCACTTGTTTACATATGTGGTTATTCTGACCGAGACAAACCTCTAAACTTCATCCTGACAAAAGTTCCAGGCTCTGACATCCCACTGAGTTCCATACCATGGAACAAGCCAGCCAAGGTACTGACTTCCAGTAAAGCTTCCTGAGGCTGGAAGGAGGCCTTGATGATGCCAGGCTAGAAAACCTCACTACCCTCTGCCTGGAATCCTTCTGTGCCCTTTTGCATCACTGCATCCCAATGCCTAGCACACCAACTGGCAAATACTAGGTGCTAAAAAATGTCTATTGAGTTAAAGGGTGTCAAAAAGAGGAATCTTTCAGAGAGCTCAACATACCCAGTTGCTCAGAGACCTCCATCTCTGATACCCAAAGCAGATGTCCTTCTTTGGTGTCAAATCCTAAGTACCAGAAATACTAACACAAGTCATCTCATCAATCCCACTTCCTGAGGCAAGAATCACCACTACAATAACCTTGCAGCGAGCAAGCCCCTAGGGTGGGAGCACACATGCAGGAAGTGGCCCATTTCCTTGCTGGATGGACAATCCAGGGGAAAGAAACACTACTTCACATCTTTTGTGCTGTTAGCTGAACTGAAGAAGGATCAGTGGACATGACCTCAATGGTTAAAATGTGCTCCTTCCTCAAACTATAATGTTCATATCTAATGCTTCTCCCTTATTGCAGGTTCAATCAGTAGATAGCAGGGAAAGTGCAAAGATGCAGCAGCCTTCACCCTGTGATAGGATCAGAGAAAGGGCACTGGAGGCCAGGTCTGCAGGAGCTGCCAAGGCATAAGCCAAATGAGAGAGTCCAAATTGAGCCAACATCAGCAGTCATGTAAGGAACAGGGCCAAAGCAAGGACACTTGAGAAACCAGGAGGGTCAATATAAGAAGTAGAATGGGAACCAGTCTGAAAGGAGCTGGGGACAATGGCCTTTGACTGGACCCTAGACTGTCCTAGTATGCCTGGGCTGAGTTTCCTAAGGAAGGCCTTAGCAGCATGGCCAGTGCCAGACTCTGGATAGGGATTTTGGACTAAGGTGCCCAAAGACACTTGCCTTTCCCTGTAGGAATATCCCAGTACCCAGCACAGCCCCTGGCCCACAGTCAGTCAGCACCAATCAACACAGAAGAGTGCTGGACAGATTGTAGGGGGCAAGAGTGGAAGCAGAGAGATGACTGGGAGGTTACTGTGGCAGTCCAGGAGAAAGCTCATGGAAGGTGTGCTCAGAATGGGAAGAGAGAAGCAGATATATTCAGAGCACACTTTAGTTTAGAAGTAGAGATAACAAGACTTTATGGACTAGTTCTAGAGAAATAAAGGGAAAAGAAAAATTAAGTATGACACCTAAATTTGGTGCTTGAGCAAATGGTGAATGACAGTGCCATCGACTGAGAAGACTAGAGAGAAGAGGCTTGGGCTGGGAGAAGTAAGTGGGAATCAAAGAGATTTTTTCACTTTTGGCTTTGCTTTGATTTGTACACACTAAGTTTAAGACATTTCTTGGATATCCAATCAGAGACACCAAGTAAACAGTTAAATATAAAGTGTGAGATTCAAAGAAATTAGGACTCACAGAATACACTTGGAAGGCATAATCTAGAGGTGGTATTCAAAACTAGAGACACCTAGCAAGAGAATGGAGAAGTAAAAAAGGAACTGTCTCAGGACCAAGCACTGGGGTCCCACAATATGCATCAAGCAGAGACACTAAGAAAGGAGACAGAGGAGTAAGTAGGGGGCAGAAGGAATATCAGGACAGTTCCATAAAGTCACAAAGGCCATGAGGAGAAAGTGTCTCAAGAAGGAAAGAATAATAGAAGGAACTAGTTAACAGCTAGTTACTACTTAACTCTGGAGAGGGGAAATGGGGACTGGAAGGAATGAGGGGAAGAAGACTTACTTTTCACTGTATGCCTTTTGTACCTTTCGAATGTTGTGCCAGGTGCATATATTACCTATTCGAAACACAAATATAGTAATTTAGAAGGAGAAGGAAGAGCAGAATGAGCACTGTTAGTAGAGTTTAATATCTTCAAGTTGAGATACAGACCAACCCTTGGTCTAGTTTGTGGATTCAGTCAAATCCTTTCTTCTCTACAATCTGCTTCGTTGCTTTCCTTATTCTTGTTTTCACCTGCTTTTGTTTACTTTCAGATCTTGGAGCTGGCAAGAGGAAGCATATGCTCCAGACATTTGGAAAACTCTCCCCTAATGAGCCATGTGGTGCCAGATGTTACCTATAATCCAAAGGCCAGTCCCTCAGGGCAGACTGGGCACCACAGAATGAACACATGCTCCAAGACGGAGAAGCCAAGATGATGGAGGGCAGTGGGCAGGAAAGAAGAGGTTGACAGGAAAAGGGGAGAAATGAAAGGAGAAGTGAGATCAGTTTGGGACACTATGAATTTGAGAAGATGGCAGAACAATAAAAATTGACAATGCCCCCCACTATGGCTCTGTGCTGGGTGCTAGGAATACGGTAGTGAATGGCAGACATAGAAGTTCACAGACATATGGGACCAGAGCTCAGGAGAGTGGCCTGGACCAGATAAGTCACTTCCCTTTTACAGCTTTTTAAGGGTCCCAATCACTCTCAGGATAAATTTCAAACTTCTAGGTCTTTCATAATCTGGCCTCTGCTCACTCCTTCCACTCCTTTACCCAGTCCAACAAACATTCCACACTGAACAGCTTCAGTTCTCCCTTCTACACATTAGCCCATGCTACTCCCACCACCTGGAATGCCTTTCCTTGCTTTTTTTTTTTAAGATTTTATTTATTTATTCATGAGAGACACACACAGAGACAGAGAGAGAAAGAGAGAGAGAGAGAGAGAGAGAGAGGCAGAGACATAGGCAGAGGGAGAAGCAGGCTCCATGCAGAGAGCCCAACGTGGGACTCAATCCTGGGACTCCAGGATCACACCCTGGGCTGAAGGTAGGCACTAAACCACTGAGCCACCCAGGGATCCCCCTTTTCCTTGCTTTTTCAACATCAGACCTCACTTCCTGTTTCTTAAAACCACCTCTACCATACTACCACGCTGAGTTAGCCATCTCTCCTTTGTTCTCTTAAAACATCTCCTGTATCTCACTAATATATATCTTATTTATCTGTATCCCTCACACCCAATCCAAGGTCTGGGACAAAGCAGGTGCCCAAGGACTAAGGTCTAAAGGGAGGTCTGAGCTCATCCCCAAAGCTGAGAGGGCCCTAGAAACAGTGCTGCCTTCTATGGTTGGGACTGTTCAGTACCCACTTGAGGCCAAGCCTCACAGGAAGTCAAGACAATGGTATGAGGAGAAAGCAAGTCAATATGGAAGCCTAGAGGAATGCTCTGGACATCACCCACAGGCTGGAGTCTAGGCAATTAACCAGAGAACTTAAGAATCCTTAAAGGCCCATTTAAGATTCCAAAAGATAATCAAATTCTTAGAGGAACCATAAGGATGATCCTTGCCCATTCCTCACCGCCAAGCCTCTAGAAGAGGCCTTAACTAAACACCTACATGTCTCATGGTATCCAGGTCTGCTGTCATTCGCAGGCAAGGTATAACTGTGTCCCCTGGTTTCTAATATTGCCATACCTCAGGAGTTCTGCCAGCTAGCCTGGCAGACTTGCAATTCCAAGTCCCCAGACTCCACTTGCTACATCTAGATGTAAATGGCTATGTCAAAGCTGGTTCTGATCTCTCCTAACCAGGCTTTGCCTCCTATAATCTCAATCCAGGCCTAGGGCCCCCAGTTCCTCCTGCTCATCCAGAAAGGTTTTTGGATAACTAGAGCAGGGCTTCAGAAGGATGTTCTCTGTCAGTTCTCACAAAAAGAATCAAGGATCAATGTTACAATCAGGAATGGGCTCTTTGGGATTTGATCAAAGACCTAAGGCATTCCTCGGAATAGAATAATCCTTAGTTCTGATAAGAGTCAAGATCTACCTAGAACCCAGAGCATTTCCCGGTGAGTTCCCAACATGCTGTCATCCACAGAGCTCCCAGACCTTGACAGGAAGTCCTCTGGTACAGCCCTCTCAGGAAAAACAGGCCTATCACTGAGGCCTCAAGATGCTACCTCAGCCATAGTTCCCATTTCTGACAATAGCAGTGTCAGTGCACTTGTGCCTGTACAATTTTCAACTCATTCCAAAGCATCATAATACCTTCTTTGAACACTGAGCTATATAGTAGGAGGAAGAGAGGCAAGTCTGGTACCAGTTACAGAGCTGCTGCCCTCAAGGAACTCAGCTTAGAGAGAGAAATCTGAGTCAAATTTTCACTTGACTAGAAATTTCTGTCCCTTTCAATTCTCAGTGGTCAAGTCCCACCAGCTTTTATGTTCTTCAGCATCCTGTTCTTTAAATCTTTGCCCTGTGTATGCTCAATCCTTCGCCCTTACCATTGGCCCCACACACATGGCCATCCCACTCTGCCAACAGCTCATCATACCCTCCCTTCCTGCCAATGGACAAGAGTGAGACAACTATAGATCCTCTCACTACAATGAAGAAATCTGGCCTGTATCTGGAAGGGCAGGAAAACTTTGTGGAATTTCTTACCCTTCCAAACCAGAATGGAGAAGCATCCTTTGAACTTCAGACTTTAAAAACTTCTATTCTATTAACTCAGTGCCGACATTTGGAGAAAAAGGAAGCAAGAGTTGGGATGGACACCAGCTGCCCAAGACATCATTTTGGAGGAAATGGAAAGGGCTTCTCTGCCCCCAAGTATTCTCCTATGGTCTTCCAGAGGGGGTTAGGGAGCTGAAATCATGGTGGAAGAGGAATATTTTCTCCCATATGGACCAACAACTGGGCTGGAGGCTATGAGAGCCTATAGGGCTATTATCGATCAAGATGTAGAATAAGACCAGTTCTGGGTTTGTGCAGCAGCATATGACCAGTCCCTAGATGGCTTCTGATCACCTTGAATAACCCTTGCACTTTCTAATAGGGACACTACTCCACAGAGCCAGGGCCTGTGACCGATTCCAGACCTGGCACTTTCCCTTCAGCTTACCTGGACCCACTATGTCCACCTAGGGCTCTACAGATTCCAGACCTGGCACTTTCCCTTCAGCTTACCTGGACCCACTATGTCCACCTAGGGCTCTACAGATCATGACCTTGGGCCCAAGGTGAACTGCTGGCCTCTAGCTATGCCCCACCCTAGCCACCCTTATGCTGTTGCCCACCCTGGCACAAGGCTGGTCTTCTAGGTAGCCTGTGGGGGAATTCAGCAGACACAGAGAAGCAGTTTGGCCCCTCCTACCCTGGGCAGCATCAACCCACCTTGACAGAGATGTGGCCATGGGCCTGGGGAAGGTGAGCAGCCAAGAACCAGTCCCCAGGTAAGGGGCTGCTGACGTTAAAGATGCCTGAGGTGCGGTTGGGCAGTGTCCAGCTGAGGGTCAGTGAGAAAACCCCAGGCACAGCCGTGTCCCCTGGGAAGTGTGTGTGCAGGGGATTGATGACAGGGGGTGCCCCGGACCGGAAATACCTGGGGGACCAGAATGAGGAGAGGAAGGCAACAGGCAATGGGATGGGAGATGGGAAATGGGGAAAAGAAAGAACTGTCACTCATCGCCAATAACACAGTGCATTCCCTATATTGATACACACAGCAAAGTGGTTCCAGGTCAAGGAGTCAGGACATAGAGTAAAAGGTCAGCTCAGGCTCTCACACAGTCAAACAGTAGTCAGGAGACAAAGGTCTTGTTACTCACTCAGTCACACACTTCAGTCTGGACACAGGGGAGAGGTCAAGGCCAGGAGGTCAGTTTAGATACTCATAGAGTCATACTCTCTGCAAAGTGCTCTGGGGTTAAAAGGGGTGGTCAGGATGTTAACATGGACACTCACACAGTCACACTCTGGTCTGGGCAGTGGTCCCCAAAGGTGCCCCCCTGCTCCTTGAAGATGATGAGGTTCCAAACAGCCAGGAATGTGTCCTCGGGAACATGGAAGTGGAAGAGCTCAGTGCTGGCAAAGGAGCGGAAGGGACTCAGCTTGCGGGGTGAGCACGTGGAGTAGTCAGTCAGGAAGAGGCCTCCTGGGGAGCAGGCAAGAGAGAAAGGAGCAGGGTAGGACACAGGGCATTTCCGTTAAGCAGCAGGAACACCAGTCTTCCTCACCAATAGTAGCAACTCAACAAATACTCTCCTCTGAGCCAGGAGCTAACTCTCATGCTGCCCTAGCCATCATCTGCTTCACTCCTTATAATGACCTTGGGAAAAATGACCTGTTTTTACAGATATGGAAACTGAGGCTCAAACCTAGACCAAGCTGAGGATTCAAACCTAGCTCTATCTACATCCCAAAGAAGGACACTTTATATGACCCCACTGTCCCTCACTGGGGAGTCATTGTTCTCTTAGCAAGCTTCACAAAACAGAGGTGTGAATGGTGTGTGTTGTGAGAGGAAGAGGGGGAACATGGGCTCCTTGGCAACTGAGCAGGCTAGAACTCCACCTGTGGAGCTTGGGAGTCAGTAATGAACTGTGTAGCTTCCTTGTTTATTTTCTTCCCCTTTCTGTTCCCCTGTGGTCCCAGGAGCAGTAAAAACCCCAGAAGCTTCACAAAAGCTGTCTGTGTACTGGCTCAGGGCAGGGAGGAGGAGGGGAAAGTGTGGTAAGGATGCAAGGGGCCTGCTTGGGTGGCAGAGGCAAGAACAGGAGCTGGTAGACCACCATGAGAACTCCCAGGAGAGGAGGGGAGTCATCAGTCCCTCTAGGATTCAGAATGAACACCAGAGGGTGTTTCCCCAGAAGAAAGCCCAGGGAGGCACTCAACTGGTGACCCAGTGGAATCTCAAACCACTTGAAAGTATTTACACTTGGGGTTAGGGGGACTGGTCATCTCTAACTGAAGTGCCAAGATACAAGATACCTGATCATTGTTGTTTGGGGCAGAGCCAAGGTAAACAAAAAAGTCGGGTGTCAGCAGTTCTCAGGCAAATGCATGGGCACTCGGACTGCTGTGACAGGGGAAATTACCCAGTAGTTCAGCTGCATAGAAGAGTGTCCCTGATGAAAGCAAAGTTCCAGAGAATCTGACTGCTCTGGAGACTTAAAATCAGCCCTAGAGAAGCACAGAAGGATGCCCCCAGGACAGATGAGGAGGTTGGGAACTCCAGCAGCTTCAGGACAGAGCAGGGAGTGGAGGGGAGACCCTAGAGGGGAGCTTTCAGCAAAATAGGAAATACCCACAGGGCTTACCTAGTCTGACAATCTCCCTTCCAGAAATGGGAGCTATAACTCCAAGATGAGGTATTTGAAATTACAGAGAAAGAGGCATCTGGGAAAGGGAGGCTGCTGAAGGAAGAAACACAGGTAAGGAAGGCGTCATGGAAATTCAAGGTCACCCTGCAAGGAGCTGCCCTAAATATGTAGAGACCACTGGCCCTAGACTGGCCTCTGCACATCTTCAAAGGCCATGTTACACCCAAGGACTAGTCAATCCAGTTCAGACCACATGATCAGTCTCAACTGTCAGCAAGGAAGACCTGCCACCTTGCGAGCTGAGCAATGATAACAGGAAGGCAGCAAGCCAACAGCACAAAAATGGAGCTCTCCAGCACCATCTGCTGGGGTTAGGGGAGGGCTTCTCCCCAAAGCTGGTACCAGGGATGGGTCATCAGATGGGCCACTGCTATTATTAGGAAGAAATGTTGGCCAGGCCCCCAGTGCAGACCCTCAGAGAACTGGTGGTGAAAAGCAGCTAATAACTTTTGGGAAACAATGGATAAGTATAAAGTAAAAAGTACAAGTACAAAATACCTTGTGACTCAAAGGAACGTGGCATGGCCTGGAGCATTGGGAAAATGGTTAAGGCACACGAAAAGTGGCCAGGACTACAAAGATAACAGAAGGGGCTGGTGGGAAGAGGGAGTGAGCAGCAACTGGACATGGTGGGAGGAACCTAGAAGTTCTGAGGGCAGATGCTTGAGAAAAGTGTCATAGCCCCATTCTCTCCAAGCTTTGCTCTGGCATTTCACGATGGCCTGCAGAGCTGTGTCCCAGAGGAAGCATGAGTAAAGCTCTAGTCAAGCTCAGAGGTACCTGTCCTGGATGCTCCATACTTCCAAATGAAGCTAGGGCAATTCTTCATCACCATCTGAAACACACACACACACATACACACACGGACACACACAAATACACATATAAGCAAAGGCTGGCCCTGCTAGGGATAGCATTAGGTAGAACAAAAGGTCACTTCCTGGAATGGCAAGGCACACCTAGGCTATGCAACTATAGTCAGTTGAGCCCAAGGAAAAGAACCAAGGATTGGAGTAGGACCAGAAGACCCAGGAGGTACCTTCCATTCCTGAAATGAGATGGAAGCCAACAATAAGCATTTATTAAGACTATGCTATGTACTATGATGGGCTATGATGGTCCTGTGACACTGTCAGCCTCTCCTCAGGTGACACCTGTCACCACCACTAGGTCACAGAGCACCCCTACAGGCCAGGCCACAGTTGCCAAGGCAGTAATTATTAACAAAACAATAGCCCTTTGGAGGGCCTATTCAGAGCTCTTTTCCAACTTCATTACAATTCTTGCCAAAGCACCTGAACCTGCTTCTGGACAATCACCGTTTAATCCACATCTTTCTACAGTTCTGTGGCTGTCACCCTCTTCTCCTAGGTACCCCATGCTTGGTCAATGAGCTAAAGCACAAAGAAGCCACAGTGGCAGGGATAGAAACTATGAATTGGGCTCAACAGTATGGATTCTCCTTCACCTAAACTGAAAAACTGGCCTGGCTACTACCTCCACTGAGTGTCTAATTTACCAGCAGCAGTAAGCAACATTGAGCCTCTCTATAGCTCCTTCCTTCAAAGAGTCAGGCTAGGGGCACATGGATTACTTCTATATGTTGTGGAGGGCACCAAACACTGCCTTCAACAAAGAAATCCATTTGGAAGGTGATACTTCAGTGACCTGTCTATAGGAGGAGCAAGGAGAGCTAAAGAGGAACATGTGTGGGCCACAACATGTACTCTCCCCCTCACAATAACATCGGCACTCAGAAGACACAAAGGCTCACATGAACACCACAGAAGATACTAACACACAAGCATGTATGCACACTGCACATGACCAGCTTTCGCAGACCCCTCTGGTACACAAACACATTAAGTGCCCAGATGCCAGGGAACATACACATAGAGCTTGAATATTTCTGCAGGGGCATGACCTTTGGCATGTATTGATCTCCTCAAGCCTGTACACTGAACTACACCCCCAAAGCTCACTGAAACCCAACTCCCACCCCAGCTGCTCTGCCACTAATGCCAAAGACTCTCTTAGGCACATCTCCATCCTAGCTAGAGTGCCACCCACCAGAGGGGGCTGGGGCTGACGCTGTGAAGACCACAGTCATCTTAAAATGGGGCCAACTTTATGGCATATCTCCTACAGTGAGCCCCCCCGCCGCTCCTGCTCCCACATTCCACCCATTAAGAAGTTGGACTCCCCCCCTCTACGAATCACTTCCTCCCTGGCTGGTGGTCCTAGGCTGACAACTGGCAAATGAGGAAGAGTTTGTGGATTAAGCCCCCTTGTGGGCAGACAGGGGAGACGACAGGTTGTGCTTAAGTCTCTCAACTGGCTCTATTTTCCTGCTAGGTATTATGTTGCAGTGAAGAAAAAAAAAAAAAAAACACTAATATGAGATAGGAATTAGGAAACTTTTTCTGGCCCCAGTACCACCATTTACAAGCTGTATGACCTTGGGAAAATTGCCCTCCAACTGAGCCTCAGTTTCCCCATCTATAAAGTGGCCTCTGTATTTCAAGACTGCTCTAAAAGTGACAGGAATTATTCCTAAGCAAATCAAACTTATCTAGATTCATTACAAGAAGAAAACTCATTATAATGGCAACTAACCCGTGTTCATATGTTTGCTACATGTGGTTCTCAAAACTGTTTCCTTAACCCTGTTTTAATGCATGCTCAATATCTCAAAGTTTAGGCCAGATCTTCCCACACTGGACTAGAGGCTCTCTGGTGTAGGGTCACATCTCCCCCATCAAACTTCCCTTGCAGAAGAAGTTTCCAAGTTTTCTTCCTTGGAAAACCAATAGTCAAAGCAGAGTCAGATTGACACCAGGAAAGAAAACCTTGGCATCCTGGGGACTATCAGGCACGTGCTGAGCCTCAAGCCCAAAACTTCCTCTCTCCTGACCCTCCCAACTTCTCTCAGTTGTGTGAGATGAGACCTCGCTCCTCCCTTTTTCTCCCCAATTCTTCCCCAGTGATGCAGTTGCCCAGGTCCCACCTCTCCTGAATCCCTCCAGTCCATCCCTCCCTGCCAGAACCCCATATCCCTGCTTCAGTGCTTCCTGCTTCTGCACTCACCAGCCCCCGGACCAAGGACAGAGAACAGCAACAGCAGCAATAAGGCTGGAGGCAGCTGGAGCCCAGACCTGAGTCGAGGCTGGGAGAGGGGCAGGGTATGAGAGAGAGGGGTAGGTAGTGGGAGAGACTTGGGTAAACACAGAGATGAGGGCAAAGGATGAGATAATGGGCACCGGGGCTTAAACAAGGGCAGGGAATGGGATGGAAGGAGGGGTTGTAACGGGGACTGGGGCAAGGGCAGGGTTTGGGCCCCGGGTTTAAGCAAACACTGGGCATGGGGCTGGGACAGGGGTTGGACCGGGATTTGTGAAAGGAGGTGGAACAAGGGCAGAGGAGGGGTCCGGGGCCAGGGCAGGCACGGGGACTGGGACAGGAGGCGGGGCCTGGGTTGGGACCTGGATCTGGGCGTTCGCTGGGACCCAGGTCCGGGCTGGGGCCGATTTGGGAAGCGGGGCGAGGGCGGGGCTGGGGTCCAAGGGCTGGATGAGGATAGGACGAGGGGCCGGGACAAGGGCTGGGCCATGGCCCGGGGCGGGGGCGGGGCCGGACAGGCCAGCGCGGGGCGCGCGCAGAGCTGACCCACGGCTCCGCTCCCCACCCCCAGGGGGTGGCTTTCAGTGTCCTCGTGGGCCCGGCGCCGGGGTCAGGCCGGCTGAGGCCGGGCCGGGGACCTGGGTAGGAGTTCAGGCCTGGGCGACTCCGGGCTGCGCTGGACCGGCGATAACCAGGCCCCGCGGCGGCGGCCTCTGTCTGACGCTAGTATGACGCTCCGCCCCTCTATCAGTTCGATTGGTTCTTGTCAGTAAAGCCCACCCCCTGCCCCATCCTATTGGTCTTCAACTTGATTCTGCGGGCCTCCGAGGACAGACTCCGCCCCAGCCCCAGCTCCTCGACCCCCTGCCTTTCTCACCCCAACCTCGGAGCCGCGATGCCAACCTCCGGTCCTCACAGCTCCCCCACTGATCGAGCCACCCACATCTCATAGGAACCCTACAGGGACCCTCACAAACCCAGACACCTACGGTTGTCCCCACAGATGTCAACAGACTACCCAAACACTCTCACAGAGGTCCCGCAAACCCCTTTAGAAGAAGTGAGCCCTCTAGGCTCGACCCCTCTGGATCCAATGCAGCCTCCTCTGCAGACCAGTGCTGTTGCCACGGAGATTTCTGGGCGTTCCGGTTGCCCTGGTGACGGATCCCTCCTCTCCCGGCCTGGGTTCCAGAGGTTTCGGTCAAGATCCTCCCTCATTGGCCGGCCCGGAACCCCTCATCCCTCTCCCTCCCACCCTTCGCCAGATCTGGCCAGAGTTCCTTTGCGAATTCCTACAGGTGTCCAACTTCCCTGCCCAAGTGGTAGACTTGAAGGCAAGACCTCTCACTACATGCAAGGCGGGTCTCATCCAAGAGCCTTCCATCCCTCACTTAACATTTCTTCTTCCCACCTTCAGACGAGATCCTGACCTAAGGACTTGTAACAGCCAAGCCAAAGCCCAGAGGTATGTGGTTTCTCCAATTGTTGCTCCTCCAAACTCTCATCCCATTCCCCTCCTAACACCTTCTGTCCCTTCCCACCTCAGTCCAACCCTCTTGCATTCTCTAATTTTCACCCTTACACTCCCCCTCCTCCACTTTTCTCTGCCCAGTTCCTTCTGCCTCTTCTTCTCCTCCTTTCTCTCCTCCCATCCTCTGGTTCTCCACCCTCAAGTACCTTTTTCCTCTTGCTGAATGTCTGGTCAGATTCCTATCATCCTACCTATTTCTCCACTTCTTGTCCCAAACTTCCCCCTTTGGAAAGACTCTAATGAATGTTAAGTGATGTGTTTTGTATCTCTCGAGCATGGGGGGAAAGTAGGGAGCATGGAAAGTTAAGGCTGGAATCCTTAGGCAGTGTTGCAAAGAATGATAGGCCTTGAATGTCAAGGCCAAGAAATTCAGATTTAATCCTTAGGTGAAGACAACAGAGTGTTTTTAAGCAAAGGAATGCCATTGTTAGGTTTGCATTTTTAGAAAGATCTCCATTGTGTCATTAAGGAGGACTGACTTCTTTTGGACATCCTTATAAGACAATTTGGTCACACCCCACTCCACAGCATCCTGAGCTTACTCCAGCACAACACCAACTCATCTGTATTATATCATTTTGGTTAATCTGGTCTCCTCCCCAGATTCTTTCAGCTGAATCCAATGCTTAGCACAGTGCCTGGGTAAAAGTATAAGATTGGGTTCTTTTTTTTTTTAATAAATTAATTTTTTATTGGTGTTCAATTTACCAACATACAGAAGGATTGGGTTCTTTATAAAAGTGTAAGTTACCAAAAAAAAAAGTGTAAGTTACATAAATCAATGAAAGTGGCTGAGTGGATTAATATGCTGAAGGAGGCAAAGGGGCGAAGTCACTACATAATCCAGGTAGAAAATGATGAGAACTTGAACAAAATTGGAGGGAAAAGAAAGGAGAGAATTGATTTCAGGAATATTTAGAAATAGAAAATACAGTCCTTGGTGCCTATTTGAAGATGAGGTTTGAAGAAAAAGGGTAAGACTACAATAATCCCCAGAGTTCAGCTTTGATGCCCTGTTGGGACATCAAGTTAGCAATGTCCAGCAAGTAGTTGGGTATGAGTGTGAGTTACGGGGATTCAAAAAGGTCTGAGCTGGAAATACGGATTTAGGAATCATCCACATACCAGTTGGAAATAACTGAAGGCCTGAACATGAGTGACTCATCAAGGGAGGGTGTATGTTGCTCCTAGACAAAACCAGACTGCAGTCAGGGCCCTGCCTAATGCATTGTGGCATTATCCTACACTCTTAAGAGCAAACCTTCACTTTGGCTTGGCATCCTAGTCTCTAGAACTCTACTGCCTGACCTCCATGGTCCTAAGGCCCAGGACCCTGCTCTTAGACTAGCCAAGTTGCTATGTTCAGCCTCCCTCCTGGGTCATGGTCCTCTGCTACCATCTACTGATGGGATTCTGACTGCTTCAGCCTTTTGATTTTTAAGCTCCAGCTCCACAATGCACAGCCACATGTCACATGGGGTCTAGGCACACAGATGAACCTCCTGGCACCATACCTTGACCCAAAGTTCATCTTGCTTTCCCGTTATATCTCAGGTGCACTGAAAACCTTATCCTAATTCCATAACCCCCAGTGAACTCTAACTTGCAGACCCTCCACTCCCAACCTAATGAAGCCTATACCCTGTTCTACCACTAGATGGAAGCAGACAAGGTCACAGAAGAGCCTCATACCACCATGGATGCAGAGGAGCACCCCTCTTCAAAGGACCCCTCTGCTGAGGACTTACAGGATCTCCCCAACCCTGAAACACCTTTGGAGCTTTCCATCTCTGAGACCGCTTTAGAGCCTCTTACCTCTGAAACCCCTTTGGAGACTTCCATCCCTGAGACTCCCTTAGAGACCCACACCTCTGAAACTCCTTTGGAACCTTCCATCTCTGAGACCCCCTTAGAGCCTGACACCTCTGAATCTCATGTGGTACCATCTACTTCCCAAGCCCCTTTAGAGACCCACACCTCTAAACACCTTTTGGAGCCTTTCATCCCTGAGACCTCTGTAGGATACTCTGAGATCCCTTTGGAAACCCCCATCCCCGAGGCCCTATTGGACACACACATCTTTAAGGTCCAAAAGAAACACCTTTCTTTGCATTCCTCATCACAAGACCATGTCCCTTTATCTTCCCCTGATACTCTGAAGGAAGACCTCTCTGAGTATTCTTCCAGTGAGGCCTCGTGGACAAGGAGGGCCATCCAAATCTCTGAGATCCTTCAAAAGCACTCCCTTTCAAGCCCTTCAGATCCAGTCCACCTGGATACATCTGCAAAGGAAAAGGAAGAGGAAGGAGAGGACATGGAGCAGGTGGATGCCACTGACAGCACCGCACACACCGCTCAGCCTGGACACCAGCTGGGCAAGAAGAAGGGGAAGAAAGGAGTTAGCCGTAATTGCACCTGCACTTTTCCCCATTCTCATCACTGTCTTATACCTGCCCCCAGGAGGAGGGGATTGGGTTACTCTTTAACCTGGCCCCTTCTCTTAGTTTTAGGGCCTCTCACTTCCTCTTGGTTACTCAGCTTCTCCCTTCCCAGATTATACAGTCCACCCAGTGGTCCCTGCTAAGCAGGTAGAGCTGATAGAAGTGGCTAAGGCAATGCACAGAGACAAGTTTTGTGCTCAGGTGAATCATCTTTTCCAATGGGACAAGAATGCAGCCCTGAATGCCATCCAGACAGGTGAGCCCAGAAAGCCCTTCAGAGGCCAGTAACAGGCCCCTGGTCATCCTCCAATCCAACTGATCAGGGAACCTGCCCCGATCAATGGATAGCTGCCCCTTGTGGAAATGGCAATGCTAACTGCCTGAAATCTAGGAGGGGAGCAGCCAAGTGGGCCAAGGGGGATGGCATGGGTGCAGAAAAAAAAGTGAGGATGTTCATATAAAGCCCAGGTAGGGACAGGCAGCTAAGCTAAAGTCGTTTAAAAAAAAAAAAAGAAGGGCCATAGGCCAGCCCCACATCTAAGGCTCTGAGAGCCTGTACCAAACCAACCTCAGGCAGAGATGGCCTAGAACCCTGGATGGTCCAGGAGGCTTGTGGCTCTAACATGGCAAAAAGTTCCACCTTAGTCCTCTTGGTGGAATGCCATTAAAAGGCTGTCACCCTGCGTGCCAGACCCATTATCACCTGAGTACGCAAAAGCTGTGAGTCTCTTCACCAAAGAAGAGTCAGACCTTCAAGCCCTATTCATTCCAAGTATCTGCCCAAAACCAGTAGTCTTGACAGCCCCATTAGTGGCATGCTATGCTTATCTATACCTGCATATAAAGTGCATGCAGACGTTCTATGTAAACACATGCCCTCCAGTGTGTGAGCATGTACCTGTGTTGCTGAACTTCATGTCTATAGAGAATACCTTCAGAGAGAAGGCCACCCTGACCTGCTCTGTAGATTCTGTGGCTTCTAGACTGAATTCAACAGACATCACTGCAGTTATTTTTGTCTTTCATACTTCCTTTCCCTTTATAATAGGAAGAGAGTTATATTGAAACTAGATGGGCCTAAGATATAAAGACAACCAGGCAATCCTATGTCTCTCTTTCTCCTCCATGCAATTTACTTTCCTCTTCTCATTTTCACCCAGGACCCTTCCCCCTCTATCCCTGGCCAAGAGAATCACAATGATCTCATTTCTTTCTCAGTCTCAATTCAAGCATTGAAATGGTTTTGTTTGCTTATTTTAACATCTACTGTCACTCTTATTCTTCCTGCAAATGTGGGGTCATTCAGTCTCTTATTCTCCTTCTCAGAACCTCCTGCCTACTCCCCATTCTTCAAGGCCACTGCATTTTTTCACATGGAACTTTTTCATTTTCCTGTTTAAACAGGCAGTTTTATGTAGTAATTAAAGTGTCATTCAATCCTGAAAAAAAGCATCTAGGGTTCCCTCCTAATATTGGGGATCTTAAGTCTTTAGTGAATCAGTATGTGTGCCGTGTAGAGAAAGATCAAGTGTAAGTTTTTCTTTTATTTATTCAGCATTTATTGAGCACCAATTTTGTGCCAGTCATTTAGCTAGATGTGGAGCCAGTGGCTGGTGGCATGTCAAAAATAAAATCCCTCAAATAATTTGTACACTAATGAGAGAGACCAATAAGTAAAAGGATAATTATAATTCATTCTAATAATTGGTATAATTGAGGTGAGCCTAGAGTACTGCATGGCCAGAAAAAGGGGGCATCCAATCTTGGGAGCTCAGGGAAGCAGCCTTAGAAGGGATGATTTACCAAAGGTGGCCAGAAAAAGTGGGATAAGGTGGGACATGACAGGGCAAGGCATCAGTAGGAAACTACAAGAAATGCTGGAAAGAGCTCAGCTCTGGAAGGGCAGAATTGTACAGCTATTTCTGTGCAAAGTTAAAGAGTTGGGATTATAGGGATGCCTAGGTGGCTCAGTCCATTAAGCATCTGCCCTTGGCTCAGGTCATGATCCCAGGGTGCTGGGATCAAGTCCTGTATAGAATTCCTTGCTCAATGGGGAGCCTGCTTCTCCCTCTGCCTGCTGCTCCCCCTGCTTGTGCTCTCTCTCGCTCTGACAAATAAAATCTTTTTTAAAAAAATAAAAATAAAATAAAAATTTTAAAATTTTCTAAGAATTTAGATTATATCCTAAGGGCAGCTGAGAGCTACTAAAAAATTTTAAATGGGATAATAACATGAACAAATTTGTGTTTTTGAAAGACTATTTTGGCAGTAGCATAGACTGGAGAAAGACAAGACCAGACATAGGAAGACTACATTGGGCACTGGTAATAATAATGCAGATAAGAAAGAAAAAAAAATTTTTTAAATAATGCAGATAAGAAGTAGATGGGTAGAGGTGAAGAGAAATAGAACATTCAAGAAACGTTAAGAAGGTAAAACTGACCTTTGAATCTTTGGATGTATAGGATATGAAAGAAGGACATGCCTGAAATGACATCTATGTTTTTGGCTTAGAGACTGATTGGATGATGATGCCATTAATGAATGCCTAAAATAGAGTAGATGCATAATAAGTATGTGTTGGGTGAACAGAGGACAAAGGATGAGGGCCAGGTTTGGAAGGAATAATTAATTGGCTATACCACATTTGAAGTGCTTGTGGAACATACAGGTGAAAGAGTCTGGAGACAGCTGGTTGTAGAGGTCCGAAGCTCAGAAGAGAGGTCTGGACTGGAGACATCTTTCATGTAAAGATAGCTGTATGTTTGTTGTATGGAGATGTTCTAAGCAAAAAGAGATGTTATCATGCAAGTGTGATTTATGTGACCATGGAATTGACTGTGTTGTACCCTGTCTGGTATTTTCAGAGTAAGCATCTGTGCCATAGACACCTTTGTCACAAGTAGTACACTGCAAAATTAACTGACCATAAGACAATTTGCCATAAAAGATAAATAACTAGTTGACAGTTTGTTAGTTTCATCAACTGGTTGACAGTTTAGTTTCAGTTCTCCGTTGACACAGTACTCCTATTTTTATATTATATAAATCTTAGTCTTCCTAAGTGTCTATACAGTGATACAAAGCTTTGAACCCACACAACTTCCTAGACAACTTTGGAAGGTCTATCAATGGACATGTGACAATATGCCAAGAACAAACAGCAATGTAGAAGGCTTTCACAACACAATACAAAGCTCAGTTGCAAATATGTATCCTAGTATTTGGAAACTGATACCTCTTTTATTGAAGGAAGAAATTTTAGCAAAAAAAGAAAGCATCATGCCAAACAAGGGGATGAATCAACAAGCAAAAAACAAACCTACACACACAAAAAAACATATAATACTATGAATTAAAGACTTTGAAGACAAGTGCTTAGGTATAATCCACAAAATAAAATCAGTTATCTGCACAGTATTGCCATGAATCTATTCTATGCATTTTAAACTCATTTTAAATTAATTTTGCATTTTGCAATAAAAATAAAGCCATTTTTCATTTTGATTTCACTTTTCCATGTTTCATTATGTCCTTTTTAATGAATGTCCCTTTTATTTTTCATAATTTTATCTTTTGTGGCAAAATTGCTGATGGCCAATTCATCATGCAGTTAAAATGTTTGCAGTGAAAATGCTTGGCACAAAGATTCTTAAGGTGAAACTACCTAGAAGTACCTTGTACAGAGTCCAAATGGTATCCCAGATGTTTCCTCCCCCTGCCAGTCCTTGTCCACTTATAATAGGAAGAGTATTTGGAATCAGAGCAGAGAGGAGGGTCTCACTCTGGATTACATGGCCTGATGTCAACTGTCCCACTTTAAGAGCACTGACACATCTAATGAAGTCTGAGGTTTAGTTGCCAGTCTCTGTTTAAACTCTAGTCTTCCTCTGAGAACTGGGCACTGTCTCCTCTACCAGTGCTTGGACGTGACCCTTCCAGGCCCTCAGGCAGGACCTTGATCTATGGGCACTGACCCTTGTTCACCTCCACACCTCATCTGCTCATTCTGTCCTGCTGCTCTGGACAGAGTTCGGAATTCCTCTAGTGGAATCCTGGCCCCTAGTCACCTCCATTGTGACTCTGCCTGTACTCTGACCTTTAAACCAAGCCTTACTGGTGTAATGGGGCTCTGGCAGCACAGGCTGTCGGTATCCAGACAGAAGTAGCAAAGCCAAAAGCCACATCTGGACAGACTTTAGGCCCTGAAAGACCATGGGTAAGGCAAGAAAACCTAGACTGACAATTAGGCACAGAATTGTGAATTGTGGCCCTGGCCAGAGTCAAAGAGCAGAGGACGCTAACTCTTTCCCATCCTCCTTATGGAACTTCAGGGCTATGCCGAATACTGGGTCTCTCTTCCCTCCTGAAGGAATCTGCTCATTCATTTAGTCAGTCCATCAAGGAGTCTGTGCTTTCTGAGCACCTATTTTTGAGCCAGGCCTATGCTAGGACTAGAGATAGTGAAAAAACAGACCTTTCCTTGGAGGAACTTACAGTCTAAGAGGAATACAGGAGAAAAGTCCATTATAATGCATTGTACTGTGATAGAAATAGCATGAAGAATCAGAGAAAAAAAGAGAAGGGGCCCCTAGACAGACAGAGGAAGGCAGGGACAACTTTTTGGTGGATGTGACACTTCATTATGGCCTTTAAATGGGAACGAGTCCTGGGCAGCCTGGGTGGCTCAGCGGTTTAGCGCCGCCTTTGGCCCAGGGTGTGATCCTGGAGACCTGGGATTGAGTCCCATGTCAGGCTCCCTGCATGGAGCCTGCTTCTCCCTCTGCCTGTGTCACTGCCTCTCTCTCTCTGTGTCTCTCATGAATAAATAAATAAAATCTTTAAAAAACAAAAACAAACATAGTTATGAAATAAATGTAAAAAAATCTTTAAAAAAAAAAGTAAATGGGAACAGGTCCTACAGCTGAAGGTTCTAACTCATGAGGACTCATCCAGGATTCTTGCCTAGAAGTTGGAGTACTCTCAGGTCTCAAGAAGGGTGAGAAAATCTGAGTGGGATGTGCTCTCTGGTTCTCCTCCCATATTTGCATGCCTCCACCCTTGCCTTGTAGTGAAGCCAGTTTCAGATCCCACTGCTGAAATCAGACTCTCAAGGATTGTGGCATTTTGCGGGTGCCTGCTCTGAGGGATACTTCTTTGCCTCACAAGCTTCTATTGGTCTTTACCATTCATGACTTCTGGCCTACTTCTTTCTCCTTATTCTTAGAGAACCATAGGCAGCCCTTCTCAAGTTCATAGATAGCATTAATTCAGTAACACCAGGAACACAGAAAGGAAATATGAAGGTGGTCCCAGAGCTGCCCAACTCCTCCTCCTCTTCTGGTTCCTTCAACAACCATGCTTCTTAGGTGCTAGTCCTCACCATCTTTTCTGCACCTGGCCAATCATCTTTCCTTCTCTCACTTTAGACACTTCAAAGAAACAAAGTTGGGCTCTAATGAGGGAAGGGGAGGAGATGAGAATCTTCAGTTACAGACAACTTGGCAAGATTCTCATTCATCTTCAAACAAAATTTCTTTTTTTTTCTTAAAGATTTTATTTATTCGTGAGAGAGAGAGAGAGAGAGAGAGAGAGGCAGAGACACAGGCAGAGGGAGAAGCAGGCTCCATGCAAGGACCCTGATGTGGGTGGGACTCTATCCCGGTCTCCAGGATCAGGCCCTGGGCTGCAGGCAGCGCTAAACCGCTGAGCTACCCAGGCTGCCCTTCAAACAAAATTTCATTTATAATCTTGAAGACTGTCTTTAGTTATTCATGACAGGCTAGAAGAGATGGAGTGGATCCTGGGGTGGGAAAGAAACTACAACACTTGTGGAACACTGACAAAACCTGGCAGGAAAAAGTCTAAAGGGGTGGGGATAAAGACTCATGGTGGAGGTGAATACACCTAGGGAGAGAGGTGGGAGTACCTTGGGAGGGAGGCTTGGGCTATTTTTCCTTGTCACTTTTCCTTATAACTCAATCCCTCTTCACTCAGGTCTCTACATCGGCTGGCGTTGTCCCCATTATCTATGGGACTGTTTCCAGATTGGAGATGAGTCCAAATGCTTTTGTGGACACTTGTTGAGAGAACACCAGATCATCTCAGGTAGGGAGAACTGACCAGCCCCTATCAATGGGGAGTAATAACTAACTCTGGTCATGTGTTGAGATTATGAGAGAGGATGTATGTGTGTTGGTATGAGGGAGGGGGTTGGCACAGGAAGGCCAGGCCTTTTAGGTGGCCAGTCTAATCCTACCATCCATCCACATTCCCATAGACATATCCGTGCCCTGCAATGTAGGCCAGTGCCGCTGCCTCATGTTCTGCTTTATCCCTTCTCGCCCAGAGGAGGTGGGTGAGTTCTGGCTCAAAAGACGAGCTACCTTTGACCCCAAGGCCTGGAGGGCCCAATGTCGTTGCAAACACAGTCATGAAGACCACGCAGCTACTGGGTCCCATCCCTGCAGGATAAAAGGTAATTTCTAGGGTGAGGGAACTAGAGTGGTGGGCATGGGTAGGACACAAATAGTTTGGGGATAAGGATAGGGGGACTGGTAGAAGAAACTTCTCAGGTTTGAGGCTGGTAAAGAAGAGGTGAGAATGGAGTCAGCCCGTGGGGAAGCCCCAATTCCCTGTATTTGTTTTGGCTTCGCCCCTTGCCCTAGGTTGTTGCTGTAACTGCTTTGAGTCTAATTTCCTCTGTGCGGCCTGCGACCGGCGCTGGGAGGAACATGAGACTTTCTTTGAGACTGAGGAGACCCGGCGACGAGGAGGAAGGCCTCATGGTGAGGGGGCAACCTGGAACAGGGGACCATTCCAGGGTCATATCCATAAGACAGGGCAGGAAGGTGCTTCCACCTTCAACCATCCCATCCAGCACTACCTCACCCTCTCACCCACTGCATCCCATACTTGCACTGGTTTCTACCCCCAGGAGCAAATTACATGCCTTTTGCAGAGATGCCTACCCTCCAAGAAGCCATCGTCAGCAACTCTGACTCTGAGGCTCTACAAAATCAGGGGCCCTCTGGCCGTCCTGGCTCCCACGCCAGACCCCCTGGGCTTCCTGGCCCACATAGCCTCTGGCCTGGCCCTATGTCTGGCCCCCATACCTGACTCTTTCACCTCTGCTTTTCCCTCCTCCAGGGACAGACACTGTCAACACTTGGCGCAGGCCTCTATGAGCCTGGCTCAAATCAGCAATAAAAGGAAAGGAACTGGAATCTGGCCTGGTTCTCTATAGGGCAGATAGAGCCCTGCCCAGGGATAGACACTCTAGGAATTTAGAATTGGCACCTGATGGGGACGAGAGCACCACACAGAAGAGAGGTTAGATCAAGCCACCTGCCTCCACCAAACCCACTTTCAAGCTGCTAGCTCTGGCATCAGAAGGACAGAATGGCTTCGAGGAAGCCAAGGAGGGAGGGGGTTTCCAGAAGGATAGAGTGAACACTGGTGTTAGATGCAGTTGGGGACTCCAGTAATAAAGACTGAAAAGTACCCATTGGATTTTATAATTAGAAGGTCTTTGGGCACTTTAGATAATGCAGTTTCAGTGGGGCAATGGGGGCAGAAATCAAACAGCAATAAGTTTCAAAGTTTCTTTAGGAAGTGTGGATGAAAAGAGCAGGAGAGAAGTCAGACAACAACCAGAGGGAGATGCGATGTCAAGGAAGCATTTTTTAGGAGGGGGAAAGGGGGGAGGGGCCAGTAGAGAAAAAGATCTCAAAGGATGCAGGAGAGAGAGAGAAAGAGATGCCTAGTGACACAAGTCCCAGAGATGGAAGGAGAGAATGAGGTCAGGGCAGAGGTGAAGGGATTTGCTCTGGACAGGAGAAACACCACTTCCTAAGACTAAGAGAAAGGAAGGAAGAAAGAAAATGATGGGTCTTCACTGAGCTGCAGGAAGCAGGATCTTGTGGAAGTTTCCCTGTGAAGTAGGAGACAAGGTCAGTTCCTGGTTGGGAAGGAGAGGGGTAAGAGTGGGGAGTAGGAGACAGGAAGAGAGAGGTGAAGGTTTGGGAAGGCTAATGTGGGGAATCACAGAAAAATCTGATCGGTGGGTAGTTGAGGACGGCTGGAAGCAGGAACCTAGTTAAAGAGGAAGAGAAACACATAGTTAGATTGATAGTTGGTGAGGAGGGGCATCAGGGAGGATGATCAGGAAAATAAAGCAAAAAGAAGGCTTGAGGATGTAGAGAGAGCTGACCATACAATGGAAAGAAAGGAAAGCCAGGAAGCAACTGACAGATTGAAAAAAGGAACAGTCAAAGGAATAGAAGTCTTAATGAGGTCCAGTAGCCCATATCGTAGTGGGGATCAAAGTACAGGAGACAGTGGTCAGAACCTACAGGGAGCTGCGGCTCTAAGATGAGAGCAGCTGCCAGGGATCACAAGGACTTGGGAGTAAAGAACTGTGGGCAAGGGGCCAAAATCACTGAATGTGGTCAAAATCAGTAGATCACAGATTATTTTTTCTGAGTAGGAGATTCCGGCACTAGTGTGTCTGTGATCCTAGGCAAGTCATTTTGCCTCTCTGGGTCTGTTTCTGGCTCTATAAAAGAAGAATCTCTGTGCTACCTGCTCTCCCTGAGAACCCCCAAAAATAACCAGTTTCAAAGTGCTTTGTAGTTGCCTACCCTGCCTGATTGGTTTTCTACCTCTTCCCAGATCCCAGCTCCTCTTACCTCTTGAGCTTCTCCAGACACCTCTAGGGGCTCCTGCTGTCTCAGAGGCACCATGAGAACTGCATTCAATTCTAGGGCACATAGAAAAGGCCAATCTGGGGATCCCTGGGTGGCTCAGCAGTTTGGCGCCTGCCTTGGCACCTGCCTTTGTCTCAGGGCATGATCCTGGAGTCCTAGGATCGAGTCCCACATAGGGCTCCCTGCATGGAACCTGCTTCTCCCTCTGCCTGTGTCTCTGCCTCTCTGCCTCTCTGCCTCTCTCTCTCTCTCTCTCTCTCTCTCTCTCTCTGTGGGTTTCTCATGAATAAATAAGCAAAATCTTAAAAAAAAAAAAAAGGCCAATCTACATTCCTCCTCATTTGGGACGCTATCTATACTTTCACAGGAAGGGATACAATCTGGATGGCTAGAACTCCTAGGGCAAATCACAGGAGTCTGCCCTGTGAGGAAATATCTGCCCTTTGGAGGAAAAAGGCACTTTCTAATAATAATATGGCTGTACCAAAGATCGTTACTATCTCTGGAAGTAAAGAGTTCTTTCTGACTAGTGATATGCAATTAGCGCCATAATGACTATTCACTAAAACTAATTCTAGTTAACAATAAAGGAATGGTTACTGTGATAAACTCATTCAAATCAATAATATGCAAACACTATAAAGTCTACATAGACTATGTAATAATACGGAAAATTGTAAGGGGCAGAATAGGAATATATATGCAATACGTATGTCATATTATGAAAGGAAATTAGACACGAAACGTTATTCATTCCACAATCTTTGAGCACCTATGTATGTCAAGGCCGTGTGCTGAAACAACAAACCCTAATGATAGATACAATGGGGCTTTTGCCCTAAATTTTAAACGTCAGTCTAAAACTGTGTGAGTACATTAGTATTTTGTGACCCCTGCTCTTTCTGTCAAAAATATATAATCCGATGGAATACCTGGGTGGCTCAGTGGTTGGGCATCTGCCTCAGCTCAGGGCGTGATCCTGGGGTCCTGGGATCGACTCCGGCATGGGGCTCCCTGCAGGGAGCCTGCTTCTCTCTGCTTGTGTCTCTGCCTCTGTGTGTGCCTCTCATGAATAAATAAATAAAATCTTAAATACATGTATCAATTTATTAAGTATATATACATATATATATTATATTATATATTAAATATATCATCATCATATATGTATATATATGTACATAATTAAAATCCGGCAAAACAAAATATACTCCAGACCTAACCATGACGCATTTCCCTTGTCCTTCTAACCCGACTAACTGAAAATGCCAGGCACAAGGCTAACCTGCACACAGCAATTCTGATTAGGAAAGAACACTGGGTCCTATTCCTTGGTATTAGTCGTGGGGCAAAGACAAGACACTCCCGCCAACCACCCCCCCGCCCCTCGTTAAAAAAAAGGGGGGGGATGGGAACGCCCTGAAAACAAACTGCAGACCTTCCATCTCGGCGTAGGTACACAAGAACGTAAAGGAATGGGTGCCGTTCGACGAGTAAATTAAAAATCTCTGAACTGCTCAAAGAGCTGAAATGCCCTTGTAGGGAAGAAGCTGGGTGGGCACCTTCCCCACCCGTGAGGGACAGGACCCCGTCCCGGCCACCCACCCGCCTGGCGTCGCCCCGCCGCTTCTGCCGGGACTGCCGGGCCTCGGCGCCCAGGGGCGGCGGCGGCTCCCGGGGCCAGCGGAGCGCCCGCAGCACGCGCCCTCCTCCCGGCCAGTGCGGGGAGAGGGTCTGCGACCTTCGGTCTCCTAGTCCTACCAATGGAGAGAGCCACTCTCCGGGCGAAACGACTTAGGGGGGGCCAAAGGCGGAGGAACTTTCACTCTGACCAAAAGTCGAAGCTAACGGCGTGGAAAACTCGCCCTCCGGCTGGCAGAAGCCAATGGGACGAAAAGATTCGGCCTCCAGGGGGTGGCGGCGGAGCCCGCGGAGCGAACGGCGCCACCCTCCGGGCCGAAGGGCGGCAAGCGGGGAGCGCGGCCAATGGGATGACGGGGCTCGCTCGCGGCCGCCCGCGGAGCCAATGTCTGCCGCTCGCCGCCTCGGCGGCGGCGCCCCACGTCGGCCCGGCGTGCTGGCCCGGGGAGAGGCTCGGCGGCTGAGGGCAAGATGGCGGCGGCCCTGGCGGTGGCCGCCGGGCTGCGCGTGGCGCGCAGGGTGGTGGCGGTGGCGGGGCCGCGGGGGGCACAGGTGAGAAGCGGCCGTGGACGCGCCGAGGGCGTCCCGCGGGCTCGGCCGCCGTCCTCGGCGGGGGGGTCGGCGTTCCCCCCAGACGCAGGCGCGCGCCCTCGCGAGGACGGGGCCTCCAGCCGCGCAAGCTGCGGGGCTGTGGCGTGAGGTCGGGCTGGTGGGCGGCGGCGGCCACGGCCTGTGCAGGCTCGGCGCCGAGGTCGCCACAGGGCCAGGCCTTGGCTGCAGCCTTCTAAGCCTACCTGAAGCTCACCCAGCCTCCTCAGCGCCCCCTGCAGGAAGTGAGGTTTGTGAGGTTTGTCTTCTCCGAGCCAGAGACTGGCCCCCGGCAGGCTCCCAGCCTTCTGAGCGTTTTGTTTTTTTAAAGATTTTATTTATTTATTCATGAGAGACACAGAGAGAGAGAGAGAGCAAGGCAGAGACACAGGCAGAGGGAGAAGCAGGTTCCATGCAGGGAGCCGGATGTGGGACTCGATCCTGGGCCGAAGGCAGGCGCCAAACCGCTGAGCCATCCAGGGATCCCCATTGAGTGTTAACCTCTCATCTTCCCCCACTTGCCTTGAGAGAGGACTCAAGTTCATCCCAACTCTCTCTCCCACAGCGCGACAGTACGGCAGACTTCTCTGAGCCCCCTGGAAAACTAGCGCTGGGGTTACTGAGTTCACTTAATTCTTCCCTTCACTGACTAAAGGGACTGGAGTTAAAATCCACAGTAAGAGATCAGATGTGACACCTAGACGTGCTTGTGTCCAACAGGGCAATTGTATGAAAACCTGAATAAAACAGCTAACATAGGGACAGGTGGGTGGCACAGTGGTTGAGTGTCTGCCTTCTGCTCAGGTCGTGATCCTGGGGTCCTGGGATCCAGTCCTGCATTGGGCTCCCTGCAGGGAGCCTGCTTTTCCCTCTGCCTGTGTCTCTGCCTCTCTCTCCATGTGTCTCTTATGAATAAATAGATGAACTCTTAAAAAAAAAAAAAAGCTAATGTAGCTTAAAGATCAGACAAGGAATGAGTGGGAAGTTAGTAAGGTGTGAGTAAATGGAAAGAGCTCCAGTCATCTTAAAAGATGATGCAAACCACTCCCTTTTATATTTGAAGCAAAGAGGAGGGATTTATCTAAGGTAATTCGGTGGTAAAAGAATTGGGACCTAAGTTTGCAGTTCTCATCCTATGGCCTTTACCTTGAACAGTCACTAAGTTTACTAGACACATTAGGAGCAGGAATGGATGGCTCTGTCAAACCCTGCATTGTAATACAGCCTTTAACTGACCCGACTCTTTGCTGCTGAGACTCTGAAATGGAAATTTTCCTTTGTATGGGAACCACTAAGCGGTTCTTAGAAGGATGAAGTTAATGACTAACAGAGCCCAGCCTCTGCCAGCCGCAACTTACTATATGGAAGACGTATTCTTGGCTTCCTCCCTTGAGTATGTCTGACCCACCTTCAGGTCCGAGCAGCTGGGTCTGTGACTGACAGAAGCGAAGTGACCAAGGCCCAGCAGGCAGCTCCTAGGGGAGCAGCCCCAACTATCTTCTCCCGGATCCTGGATCGAAGCCTCCCAGCTGACATTCTCTATGAGGACCAGCAGGTGGGGTGCCCTGAGGCCCTGTCCCCTTAGGAATGTCTCAGCTGCCATCAGCCTGTTGAAGTAACATAGTGGCCTCTGGCCTGTCACTGCTTCCAGTGTCTCGTATTCCGTGATGTGGCCCCTCAGGCTCCTGTACACTTCCTGGTCATTCCTAAGAAGCCCATTCCTCGGATTAGCCAGGCTGAAGAAGAAGACCAGCAGGTGGGAAGAGCAGGGCCAAGGTTTGGCTTGTGGGGGTGGGGAGCCCTGGACACAGAGGTTTTGCTCCCTGTGAAGGAAGCCACCTGTCTACCTCCCCTTTCCCTGCAGCTTCTAGGACACCTTCTCCTTGTGGCCAAAAAGACAGCAAAGGCTGAAGGCCTAGGGGATGGATACCGACTTGGTGAGTGACTTTTGGCCTTGAGCTATAAATTCTCATACCTGTCCCTCAATGTAATCTTTAATCTTTGACCTTTTCCATGATCCTGACCCTCTAATCTGAAGCTCTTATTTCAGTGATCAACGATGGAAAGATGGGCGCACAGTCGGTGTATCATCTGCACATTCACGTACTTGGGGGCCGACAGCTCCAGTGGCCTCCAGGTTGAACCAACCAACTGACCTAGATCCCCAGAACTTGATGCTTGGAAGGTGGGGGGAAAGGGACCCTATGATGCTAATAAACTTGCTCTCCCTTGATTTTGGATCACTGTCTTAAATATATAATAATTATATATAATATGCATGTTATAGATAATTAAATATATAAAGATTTATACCACAAATAGGAAAGAAAACTGATTAAAGATCATGATCTGAGAGCACCTGGGTGGCTCAGTTGGTTAAGTGTCTGGCTTCAGCTCAGATCCTGGGATCAAGCCTCAGCAGGGACCCTCTTTCTCCCCCTCCCTCTGCCTGCCACTCTGCCTACCTGTATGCTCACAGGCTCTCTTTCTGTCAAATAAATAAATCTTTTTTAAAAAATTAAAAAGTTAATGATCCCTCTTGACTATGGTCTGAATGAGAGACATTAATGAGGCCCATCCTATAGTTAAAGAAGCATTTGCCTATAGATCTGTGAGTCTTCATGACTAATGGTCTACCTGGGTCAAGCTAGAAAAGTAACAGAAGCAATAAGCCTGTGTGAGTTGAAAGAGACTGAAACCTAGGAGTGAGGCTTGCTCAATCCTGACTCTCATTTAGATGCCAAGCCAAGTTCTAAGGAGGGCCTGGGAGGAGGATGGTTAATGTGAGGGCCCTTTACTGAAGGAGAAGTAATCACACCAAAAAACTGCTACCCTTTGATCCCCATGTCTCACCATTTTGCTTTTGAGTTGTTTGATGTGTTTTCAGCCTTAAACATTTTAAAAAGAATCCTTCAACTTTTGAGAATGAACTAAGAGGAGGTTACTGTTGCCCCTACACCAGCACACCAAGTATGCTTTTGTCTGATATCACAGCCCTGGCCTTGTGTCCAACACTAAGAACCACCGTAGAAAGTCTCAAAAGAATCATGCTTCAATGTGGAGGTCCCAGGAGAGCGGAACTTTAACAGCTGGGCTGAGGCGGAACAGAGTCTGGACGGAAAGCAAACTTCCAGAAAGCGGCGGGTTGAAGACTTCCGCCCCGCAGAGAATTTGCCTCCACCCCCACCCAGCCCCTTACGCCCAACTCGCGTTCTGCGCAGGCTCCTGGAATTGTTTGTCGTCTCTATGGCAACACGGTGGCTAGTGCCGGGAGATGGAGGTCGCGGAGTCTACCCGGCGGCCATCGCGGGCTCGGTGAGAGCTGCAGCTTTGGCTGCAGGTGTAAGGGGGCAAGAAAGGTCAGGGGACTTACCGTGCTGCGCTTTTGACAACTGTGATGCATTCGCTTTCTTTTAGATCTTTAGCCGTACAGCCTGGCGCTGAAGGGCTCGGGTCCACTTCAGAACTGTTGCCTTCAGATGGCAATCCTAGGTCGGCCCTGGCAGCCGCAACTGCTGCAGCTACCGCCGCAACCACCGCCAAAACTGCGGCGTTCCCCACGAAGACCCCAGAGTGCCGCTCTGAGCCGAGTGTTCTCGGTCGTCCTGGGGAGCCCTGCACTGGAGCCAGCTTTACTCACAAGATAGGCTGGAGGAGACTTGGCTTTGAGCCTGTCTGTGTTTCCCGTTTCAGCCAGGATCCCTGTACTACAAATGACCTTAGCTCTAGTCCCGTCCCTGTTCCTGGCTCCAGTGCTGGTCCTAGCCATGGCTCTGGCCCTGGCTGTGACTCTGGTCAAGGCACTGGTCCTGATTCTGGCCCTGGTTCTGCCACTGACACTGGGCCTAGTCCAGACTGTGGCCATGACCCTGAGCTCAGCCCCTACAGTCTCCCAAGCTTCAGAAACCCTGGGGAAGAGCTGGTCCCTGACTATAACTCCTGGAATCACTACAGCCACCACTGGGAACCTCAGAAACAACCCTGGAAATTTTTGCAAGTTTCAGGACCTGGTGCCCAAGGGCAACAGAAGACCCCCCAGGTTGAAGGGAAGTGTAAGGTTCTCAATGAAACATTGCCACGGGGCCACTGCCTTCTCTACAACTGGGAGGAGGAGGTATTAAGGTTTTGACCTGCTCCCTTTTCCCGAAGACTACCCCCAGTTTCCTGGGGGAAGCAGTAGTTTATGATGAGGGTGGGTACCATAAAGGATATCATGGTCACTCAACTTGGGGCCCACAGAGAGCCACCAACCACCTGGATCAAGTCCCAAGCATGCAAGATGGCTCTGAGAGTTTCTTCTTTCGACATGGACACCAGGGACTCCTGACCATGCAGCTACCATCACCCATGTCCTTCAGCACCACCCAGAAAGACTCCTACCAGCCCCCACGAAACTACTATCCACCAATTCGAGGTGTGAAGCATGAGAGAGTGGGCCAGCATGAGCCCATTAGAGAAAAAAAGAGAGAAAGGAATTCCCAGTAGTACTATGGCCAGTCCAATGGGTAGAAGGGTAAAACCCCATGATTTTCCTTCCTTTTCTCACATTTGTTTCCTCTGGGACTGCTGCTTAACCAGATTCCCCCATTCTCTATTCCCTGCCCTCCCACAGGAAAGCGTGAAGCCATGCTAGAGATGCTCCTGCACCATCAGATCTGGTGAGAGGCTGGGTGAAGGGTAAAGGAGAGGGGGAAGACAAAAATCAGGGAAGAATGGCTCTGATGCCCTCCAGGACGGTATAGTAAAGAGGTGCAGGCAGAGCAGGAACCCAAAGGGAAGCACCCTGAGGTCGAGTCTGTGACACACCACGACTACCGAAAGGAGCTGGTACAAGCCAGGCCTCCTGCCCCAACCAAGGTGAGAACTTATTACATACCACTTATACAGCTGGGCTCTAGCGGGCTGTGGGAAAGCAGCAGAGGGTATGAAAGGGAGCACAAACCATGAGTTTTTCGGGTTCTCTCTTTTACAGCCTCATGACTACCGATGGGAGCAGCCTGAAACCTTCTGGATACAGAGGGCACCACAGCTACCGGTGTGTGAGGGTGTTGGGAGTGGGGGAGAAGAAGGAGGGGAAGAGGCTGCTGTGTTCTGGCTTGGCACAGAGCAGGATCTGTCCTCATCCTGGCCCTCCTCCAGGGTGTCAGCAACATCAAGACCCTGGACACGCCATTCCGGAAGAACTGCAGCTTCTCAACACCAGTACCTTTATCGCTGGGGCAGCCTTTGCCCTATGAACCTGAGGATTATTCCCACCAACTGGGAGAAATATCTTCCCTTGCCTGTCAGGGAGGAGGACAAGGTGGTGAAATGGGTAGAACTACTATCTAAGGCTTGAGGAGGGAAGAGGGATGTGGAATATAGAGTCTATCTCCGTCTGTACTGGAGAGGTGGGAAAGAAGTAAATTCTGTCTGTACTTGGTGAACGGGCTTTCCATAAAGGGTCCTCACTCATCCTGAGACTGCCAATTCAGTGATTCCGTATGTTACCATGTTCACACTCCAAAATCTTTCCTTGGACTCACCCCTAACCCAGACTCTGACACCATGACATTTTCTGTTGTTTTATATTTGGCCAAAATATTCTGGTTTAGATACAGATATTTACAGAAGGTAGGGAAGAAGGGAATCAGGCCAGAGTGAGGCAGGTATATGTACAAGGCTGAGCTGCAAAGGGCAACAACTTCCATATAAGGTAGGGTTTTTGTGCATGTTCATTTCCATCCTACACAACAATGTCCATTTCTGGTGTGTGGAGAGATGGTGACCACTGCCCACCCAGGTACCAGCAGCAGGAGACTGTGTGACTTGGGAAGAAGTAGGGTTTACAGGAGTCCAGCAGGTCCTTTCCGCTCTCCTAGGAGCCAGTAAGTTCGCATCTTTCCTTTTCCCTGGAAGTGGGGGAGTGAAGATAATTCAGATTCTTTTATGTTACCCCCTTTATCTCCCTCTTTTCCCCATTGTCCCCATAATTGCTTTCATCCTCCCTTCCCATGACCCCTCCCCATGGCCCGCCATCACCTTCATCTCCACATCCCCCCGAAGCTCTAGCTGGAAGCATCCTAGCTCATCCAGGGCATCCTTGGTGGTGGAGGAGACATGGATCTTCAGGGCTGGGGTGGGATGGGGGCGAGGATGGTGGGAAGATGAATCAAAGAAAAGACAACAGAAGAATTGGTGGTATCGGAGAGAGCTTTACCCAACCACCACCCATCAGAAGGTTCTCAGTCTTCCCAGGGCATGCACTAGAACTAAAATATGTCCAAGGATGGGGCAGTCAGGAGCTGTAGTCTCTCAGATTGAGAGATTTGGAGGAGCTCTGAAAAGAAGAAAAGGACAACACATACAGGCTGAGGCTAGGGTTGAGGGCTAATGTTTTACCTTGACCATTAGACTCCATTCGGGAAGCAGTGTTCACTGTGTCACCAAAAAGACAATAGCGGGGCATCTTCAGGCCAACAACCCCAGCACAAACGGGCCCTAGGAGAAGAAACAGGTTGGGAGAGCCTGAGAAAAGCAGATACAAGGGCTGGAGTGAGAGTCAGCCTTACCCGTGTGGACCCCTATGCGTAGCCTCAGCTGGTCATGGGGTCGGTGGCGGATGCGGAAGGAAGAAACGGCATCCAGTAATGCTAGGGCCATCCGAGCAATCTCCGGGGCGTGGCGTTGACCATTTCGGCCTGGGAGACCAGACACCACCATGTAGGCATCTCCAATCGTTTCTACCTGATTGAGATGGGGATTAAAAGGTCACCTCTATGTGTATCAGTGGGAATAGGGAAGTGTGGAAGGAGATAAGCTGGACACCACTATGAGTCATCCTAGCAGCCTGGGAGGCCAGAACATTAACTAGATAGTAAATGCTATGGTCCTGAGAATTGGCAGGGGGCGGGGGGTGCGTTTTAAGGGTATCCTTAAGTCTTCCTATCCCACCCCTGTACCTGGCGAACACTCAGTAAATGTTTACTGAATGAATTGATACCCTGTCTCCAACAAGACATGGACAAGTAGGTTCTGCGGTCAGGAAATGGGAAGCAAGAGAACAGGGTTGACCTGGTGCGGAGTCAGGCAGGCCCATTGAAATAGGCCTCAGACAGCCTGAACTGCCCAAGGTAAGATAGCAGCCACTTGGCTTTGTTAATTGTACTGAAGCTATACAAAAGAACGTCCTGTTTTTAGGGACTAGACACTGAACTGTTCAGGGATAAAATGGGCGCTGTGCCTGCAACTTACTCTCAAGTGGTCCAGAAAATAATTCTATAGATACACAGATTTTTAAAAAAATAAAATAAAAAATAAAACAAAGCAAATGGGGTAAAATAAAAATAACTGGTGAATCTGCATTAAAGGTTTATAGGAGTTCTTTGTTACAGTAATAACAGACTTGGTAGAGTAAATCCAAAGGGAAGGGACAGAAATAGTATTATCTGTGCAATGTAAAACACTTTCCACAATCTATTATTCTCATCTTATAGGTAAGATATGTGAGGCTTAAGGAGCTTTCCAGTTACTTGCTCAAGGCCAACAATTAGTCACAAAATCAACACCTGAGCTGCATTGATTTTTACTCTGCAGCACAATAAAGCCCACCCTGTGCCAATTCAATGACTTCAATATGATTCTCATCTTATAGGTAAGATACGTGAGGCTTAAGGAGCTTTCCAGTTACTTGCTCAAGGCCAACAATTAGTCACAAAATCACACCTACACTACATTGGTTTTTACTCTGCAGCCCAATAAAGCCCACCCTGTGCCAATTCAATGACTTCAATAATTTTTTTTACAAGGTAGCTTGTCCCTCACCCTAATAAATCATCCCCTAGAGGGGATGGAGAGATGAGAAAAGATGGATAGGCTGTATTTATATGCCAAGGCAAAAGTGGCAAATAGAGGCTAACTCCTGTGATGGTTCCGATTAGGGCAGCCTAAGGATTCACAAGACTTTAGACTGAAATGTACAATTAGAGTACCAAAGCCTCATGTGTCTACAAAGGGCACCCAGTACTAGGGTGCTGGAGACCCAAGAGGACAAAATGACTATAAAGCAAGGGAAGGTGTGTAGAGTTCAGGGAGATTGGGTTTTCAAGGTGGTGTCAGGAGGAGGGTAGCCCCAGCTCTCACCTTGTAGACGTCAAAGTTGTCAATTATGGCATCAAAGCAGGTATACAGGTCATTAAGAAGTGTCACCACCTAACAAGGATGGGAAAGTAGAGCCCCTGAGACTTGAGCCTAACTTTCTAAGAATTCTTAACCCGTAAGTCCTAATAAAATATGGGAACTCCAGAACAAAATGAATCTCCCCTCCTATCAAGGATCCCTATGCCCCCAATCCCTTGCCCCCAAGCTCCCCCAGATCCCTATCCCACCCTTACTTCTCACTCATGGTTCTCACCTGCATGGGGGTGCTCTCTGCTGACAAAGCTGTGAAGCCAACAATGTCACTGAAGTAGATGGTAACACTGTCAAAGGCCTCAGCCTGTACAGTCTCTCCCCGTTTTAACTGCTCTGCCACTGAACTAGGAAGCAAGGGCCAAACTCAGAATATGAGGATGGGATGGTGGGAGCAGAAATGCATAACATGAAAGCTAAGCAGGGTAGAAGAGAAGGAAGGTGGGTGGGAAGACATTACAGACTAGCTCAAGGCAAAGTATTTCAGTGGTGGAGGGGATGGAAGGGGCCCCTTGGGGATGAGGGTGAAATGTCTCAAGTTGGGATTGTTCTGCATCCACTTGCTAAAGCAAGGTATCATAGAGCAGTGTCCTAAGAAGAAGGAATGGGAAGCCAGGAAGAAGGCAGCATAGCTATTTGAAGACAGAATTAAAACATACGGTCTACAGCCAGAAAGGCTCACTGTGCCAAGATATAACAAAGGGTTCTAAGAGCTGGGAAGTGAGTTCTCTGGAGCTTGCTCAGGGAAAACTCAACAGAGTAGAATACCAAAGGAAAATTTGAGAAAGGTGACCAAAGTCTCACTGGGGTAGAATTTGGTAGAGCAGAGCCTCAGCCTTGCGTTTCTCCTCCAGATAGGCCTGTGTGCGCTCCTCCACCAGCTTTTCCAGGTTATTGGCATACTGTTCCATGCGCAACAGCAAGTTGTCCAATATGCTCGTGCCACCCTCCCTGTGGGGGAGGCCGGGATATGGTAGCTGCTCCTGGATTCTGAAGACTCCAAGGACTTCCTACCCAACCCATTCTCTTGGCCTCCCAGCCCCACCTCATCCACCAAGACTGATGAGGTTTCTATCCCTGGAGAGCCCCTGCCCCTTAGTGCCCTCTCACTTGTTAAAGCGGCGAATGAAGCCCTTAATTTGTCCAAAGTCAGGCCGCTCAGCTGGTTCCTGGGCCCAACATCGCTCCATCAGCAAAACTAGCTCTTCATTCAGTTGGGTCCGGTCAATGCTAGGCCGGAAATATGGCCGCTGACTATTTCGGACCTTCTGAACAATCTCTGAGGGTGATAAAGGGTTTGAATGAAGAACAGAGTTCCGCAGGAAGAAGAGTCTATGGGTAGTAGATTGACTCTCACCTTTGGGGCTGAGGTCCAGGCCCTCCAAGTAGAAAGGACCACTTCGAAGTGCTATCTCCTGTAAGATGATCCCAAAACTATAGACATCAGCCTTCTGCATGCCTGTGGTTGGCAATGGGTTCCCACTGAGCAGTTCTGGTGCAGTCCACAGCTTCTCTGAAAAGAGGAAACACACTGGCCAGGTCCTCAAAAAGAGTATTCCCCAAGCCCGTAATGCTCCCCATTTTACTGTCATTCTATCTCCCTCTCCCACCCCCCACCCAGGTGGAAATGATCAAGGCCAGAGGAGCAATATAAAAGTGGGTTGTGGGGAAAGTCTCACTGGCATAGAGGGCGTGGCTGTCATCAGGTTCAGCAGTTGATCGGAAGCTGGCCAGACCATAGTCTGTGATTTTGAGCACAAAACGACTATCCACCACACAGTTGGAGGACTTGAGACTCCCATGAGATGCAATAATGCTGTTATGGAGAAAGGCCATGCCCTGCAGGATACAGATCAAGTCATGGGTTTGGATGGTATCTGGCTCATGATACCCGCTCCCTTCTCCATTAGTTAGCTGTCTAAAGATCTCAGGACCATAAAAAGCAATGAGTTACTTTTGAAAGGCATCCTTTACAGTAAGTTCCTACCCGAAGAAGCAGGCCGAATGCAGAGTCATCCGTTCTTGGTATCATAAACAGTATGTGGGCACTAGACACCAGGGACAGGAGAAATGTTTAAGGGGAGGGACAAGGGGACATCTGGGTGGCTCAGTGGTTGAGCATCTCCTTCAGCTCAGGGTGTGATCCTGGGATCCAGGATCAAGTCCCACATCGGGCTCTCCACAGAGAGCTACTTCTCCCTGTGCTGTGTCTCTGCCTCTCTCT